GTTGGCAGTTTGATGAGGAAACGGCACAGAATACTTTACAAAATCGCAAATGACTCGCATGTGTTCTAGTTCAACAGCGAGGCAGAAGGAGAATCTTACGCCGACGAAAATGTTGTCGACATTGATACAGAGTTGACAATTGAGCAAATCTTTCTATTTCGTACATCAGAAATCCAAGCAGATGGCTTAGTTTCAATAAGGAAATGTCCAAGAAGTCCATTGCTGATCTTCAGGTTGCTGAAGATTTCAAGGCTGCTAAATTCACGAACAGGGATATGAACAAAAGGAAGGTGTTAGTACAAAGCATACCTACTGCTCTTAGATCCCGACTGGAGTACAAACTTAACTCTGTGCTTTATGCTGCTGGAAGTATCTCGCTTTGTGACACTATGACCTATGATATTGAAAGAAAACCAACGCGCTGCATAGTATCTACTTTTTTTGGCTATTCCGCAGATGCTGTTGAAGAAGAAGTTGAGCAGCTTTCTCGCCAGCTAACAAGAGGTATGCCAGAGCAGGTGAAGCTAGAGTTCGACAAGGCCCAAAAAAGTATGCAATATTTCTTTCCCGTGTTGCGAAAGCATATGCGATCTGGCTTTCCCCATTACTTACTGCAAAAATCTGACGGACTTATTAGCAAAGCTAGTTCCCATTCCGTAGCACGGCAGAGGTGGAGAGGGGATTTTCTATCTCTGTATCAGAACGCAACGCAGAACTCGTACAACGGTGGAGCATCTAAGCAATTACTCAAGATTTGTCAACCTTCTACTAAACATATGGTTACCTAAAAACTCATTTAAAGGATTGCTATAAGTGGTCCAGACAGGCTGTCATTGTATGACTTTTTAAAATATTTTGAAAGATGGTATGAAGAAACTTGTCACCTACCTGCTGACTTCCTGGTGCTACCAGAGGGCCAGGGAAAAAACACAAAAGCGCTTAGAAGAAGAAGAACGTTTCAAATCCATTTTCGATTCAGAACGCTTTTTGACGCAATTCTACTTCTACTCCGATGATCTTTTGAAGGAAGAAGAAGATCTTTCAGGGAGCGAACTTGTTGTCTTTGACGTTAGCGAGTGTGATATTGTTGATGATGACGTGCAGGAATTGTAAGTCTCTCCTAACTTGTAGATGGATAAACCTTATTGCTTTCGTTTTTTGCTGACGGATGAAATAGGAGCACAGATCTTCATAAAGTCAATTTTTTGATTTATTATTTTTTTAATTAAAAAAAATTCAATTTGTACCTAAATACGGTACAAATTAGAGCTCTTCATATCAAGCTTTTTCACCTTTTCTCTCCCCCCCCCCTAGGCTCACATACCCCCTTCACCCTGGAAGGTCGGAAACAGCCGAGATCCCCCACCTGGGGAGAGCCCGGCTACCCTATCGCACTTATGCCGTAAGCAAGAATTCGAAACGATTCGTGGAATCGACTCCTACTGTGGTAGACAGCTCTATATATCAGAAGATGCGTCGCGCCGAGCTGAGTCGAGTGGTGGCTTTAGATGCAGAATTCGTTCACTTTGAAGCGAAGTATGGCTACGCGACAATGATGTTCAAACATGAGTCGCGTCTTTTTTTCAAAAATGTGAGCGGTATTGTAGTTCAGCTTAGATTCCGTTCTAGGTGTTTCATGATTACTAATGTATGTGCACGAGCTTAACTCTCCAGAAATCAAACCATTTTCATTCTTCTCAGACTCTGGTGTAGCCTCACTCATTGGGCCGTTACAAAAGCCTATATAGCTTACCTTCTTCTCCATAGGAGCAATGTAAGAGAAATCTCAAAGAGGATTCGCAATGGGCACGCATGTATAAGCCTATTTTCTTAATTTTCTTAGGTGTCTTTTCTTTTTTTTGCTTGAGAATGATTCATAACTCAAAGGTTGTATCGACCACATTATGTTTATTTGCAGCTATCGTTTCACTTTACCATAAATCTGTTTTATGTTACCATACATATAAGTTTGTCTTTCTGCATGCGTCTGGTAAAGGCTGCTGCATGACGAAGGCGCAATGACGATATTGGGTGAGCGTGCGCGAACGCGACGCGCGCGTATCCTCACCGTGTAGATCCCGCACCTCATGCGCTCTGCGGCTAATAAAGCCGCGTTAGCGCCCGAAAATATTGCGCCTTCATCGTGCAGCAGCCTATACGCTCTAAATATTACATTTTTGACCGATTAAGACTAAAATTTGCACACATACACTTCAACGCATTTGCCATAGACTATTTTTCGCTATCGATCGATAGCGAATTTATAAATTACTCGACTTTGAGCTAGGTCCTTGGACTTCGTACGGGGGGGGGGGGGTTAGTGAGCATGCTGCTAACGAAAGTAACAATGATCTGAAAAAATATTTAGTCCATTGATTCACGATTAGTTTTGAAAAGGACATAAGGAGTTTGCGGTTGATTACGGAAAATAATAAGAATGGCATATAGATGTGAAAGGGCAGCGAAATGTAATGTAGAAGAATGCAATGGCGATTTGTCGACATGGACAGAGCAAAGCCGCGTATCTCTCTATATGATATTCCTCGGTTTGGGGATGCGTGGAAAAAACAAAGGCTTACATTCTATTAGGTTGGATCGAAAGTTCGTTCGCACCAAATTCAAAAATTCATAATTTCTTGTTTTCAGAAAGGATTTGCACGTTTCTATTTTTGAAAGAGCAATTCATTCTTTTCGTAGCGGTATCTTAGCGGCGTTCTAATGAGCATACACTGCATAAATATAATATAAGCGGCAGAAAAAAAATTACTCAAATTTTCGATTTTCTGTGTTGGGTGGTAAAAAATCAGAAACTTGCAGTAAAAATCGGAGCTGTCGTTATAATAGGTTCTTTTACCAGCTCTTTCTAACTGTGCAAAGCTTGTGCTGATGGAGCTTCTCCATAAAAAGTTATGATTTTCGAGAAAAATGCCAAAATAAATCAAATTCGCCCCTTTGTATTATTTGCTCGAAAATCATAACTTTGCATGGAGACGCTCAATCAGCACAAACTTCGCACAGTTAGAAGGCTCCGGTAGTAAAACCTATAATAACGACTACTCCAGTCTTGACTGCAAGTTTCTGATTTTTTATGACCCAACAAAGAAAATCGAAAATTTGAGCCATTTTTTTTCTACCGCTTATATCTATGCAGTGTATGCTCATTAGAACGCCGCTAAGATACCGCTAGGAAAAGAATGAATTGCTCTTTCAAAAATAGAAACGTGCAAATTCGTTCTAAAAACAAGAAATTATGAATTTGTGAATTTGGTGCGAACGAACTTCCGGCCCAACCCAATACTGAAAATAGGTTCTCATTGAAACTCTGCACAAAAAACCTGGATTTTCGATAACAATCAAAAAGAAGCTGAAACTCGTATTATCTTAAAGATACTCTATACTTTCTACATCTGGCAATATTGAAAAGCACACTTTTCACAATCATGCAAGATTGCCCATGTGCCTCCCTTACCTGAAAGCAGAAGTGATAAATTTTGAGATATCCGATCTAAGACGGCAATGCACGAGTGTAAAGGTAACAAATCATTGAAAACTAGACCGTGTATGCAGCTAAAACCAAAAAACATAAAAAGAAAAAGAAAAAGGGGCAGTTTGGCGTCGAATTTTAACCGTATGCGCACTTGGTGCAAGTGCGGCACAGCGGGAGCTCAGCACCTCATTCGGGATTTCAAAATTGTGTGCAGTGACACACATCGCATCGAGGCGACTAGACGGATGACGTCTACTATACTTTGTTTTAAAAATCAAATAAAGCAGACTTTTTCATCCATCAAGGTGATTTCCCTCTTAATCTATGTTGGATGAAAATGCTTTAAAGGCAGCGTCCAGGCAGACTGGGGATTTCCTAAAGTACTTTTGGGACCCTTACTAAGGCAATGCCCAAGCGGCAGCGCAGGTAGTGCTCTAACGGCTGAGATATTCCCCTCGAAACTGGACCCCGCGATCGTATTTCACATGGATTCATGGCAGTTTCGCGCCAGGATCTACGCTTTGCGCCTGAATCCATGTGAAATACGATCGCGGGGTCCAGTTTCGAGGGGAAAATTTCAGCCGTTAGAGCACTACCTGAGCTGCCGGTTGGGCAGTGGCTTAGTTAGGGCCCTAAAACTACTATCTACTATACTTGGGCCCGAATCGAATAGAAATTCGATCATTCGAATAAAACATTTGAATATATTCGTATTCGAAATTCGATATTCGGAGTTCTTCCATTTTCGAATAATATTCGAATCTCGAATAATCAAAAAACAGGGTTTCGAATAAAATTCGAAAACTCGAATAATCAAAAAACGAGGATTCTAATGCAATTTGAAAAGTCGAGTAATCAAAAAATGGGGTTTCGAATAGATTTTATTCGAATGTTTTATTCGCAAAACTCGGTAATGAATCTTTTGCAACCGTTATATCTTTGAACTGTATGGAGAGTCACATTCCGAGTGCTTGCGATAGTAAAAGAATCATATGTGGAATTTAATTGATGCTTTTTCGATCAATGAGATTGTTCGCACTTCTACTGGCACCAAATCAGCGAAGAAGCTATCATATTCAATCATGTTCCGAGTTCATATAATGAAAGTGTTTTGAAACGCCTGTTCTTTTTGCATTGCTCATGCTTGTGGTGCGCAAAGCCAACACTAGTGAGCACTCTTCTCGCATAAGCTATATTGCACAACTGCCTCTATTTGCTACCTTAGAGGTTTTTTGCGAATTGGTGCATTTTGAGCAAAGGACATCGCAGTTGTAGTGCAAGCTTAGACGGTTTAGATCGCCGTACTGAGCAGCGCTGTGCGACCCAAGGTTCCCATTTTTGGACGCCGTACTGAGCAAAGACGAATGGAAAGAAACATCAAATCACTTCCTAATGTGCAAAAGTAAGTCAGCCGACGGCCTCGCGCGACTGCAACACTGCGAATTCCAGAGGACATATGCGACACTCTTGCGGGTGAGGATGTCAGAGCTAGCCCTTCCCGACGACAACAGTCATGTGGTCTCTGATCACTTCGCAACCGGCAAGTTCACCCACCAGATCCTCGCAAATGCAGGAAGAAGATCTGCAGGTAATTTTAAATACGGTAATCATTATCAGCCCCCCCCCCGTTTATGGCGTTTAGATGGAGCTGCAGCAGTATTCGATTTGCTTGAATCAAGGTAACGCACGTCCACATGCTGAATCCAATCCAGTGACCTGGTGGCACGATCACCATCAGCAGTTTTCAATACTGGCATCATTCGCCTTGGAATACTTACTTTGCTGCTCCGTGCACACCAGTTGATAGCGAGAGGCTCTTTAAGTTTGTGTTCCCTTTATATATGCGTTGGACAATATGCTGACTTAAGCACCGCCGGGATCATTTTTGGAAACAAAGGAGAAGACAACGTTTGCTAAGAATGACCGCCAGGCTTTTAATCATGATCAGCGCTAACACTAACAAGGACACAAGCAGGTAACGTGACTTCTTCAGAGAAGAAAAAAATGAAACGCAAGTGTTCAGGGCCTGCAAAGCTTGGATCAGAGAGAAGTTGAGCGTTATGGTTGCCATGAGGGTTCCAACCCACCATCTGTTAGTTCTGAACAGTCTTCACCTGAAGATTCAGAGGAGGAGTTTTTCGAAGAAAGCGTGAAAATCTAGATAGAGTACCGTGTTACATTGATGATTCTGGTGGTCTTTTGCCCATGTTCATTTATCACACATATTCAACATGCTTTAAGATGTTTTCCATATATGTAGAAAATAGAACAATCACTTTGCTTTTACATGTTAATCCTGGTATGGAAGAAGTAACGTTTTGCTTATGTCCTTCATATATTCCTACAGTACTTGGAAGAAGAGTATCCCAATTATGTAGAAAGTAGACCAAGTCTTAGCTTTTACATTGTTGATGCTGATAAGAAATAAGGTTATTCCTAGTGTACATCGATCTCTTTCAGACCATCTGAAGAAGAATTTTTTGGGCACAGCGTGAAAACTTAATCTACTGCCTTTTTAGATCGTCCAATAATGGGTAAAATATGAGTTTTTGCTAATGTATAGGCTACTTGCCAACCGACCAACTTTATCGATTTTTGGAGAAGTTTCAGCTACGGGGCTGGGAGTCGGTACAAGGGGATAAGTGAGGATGCTGATTATGGATAAAAATTTACTTTATCTTTTTTATCAATTTTTAGAGAAGTTTGAGCTACGGGGCTGGGAGTTGGTACAAAGGGGCAAATGAGGGTGCTGATTATGGATAAAAATTTGTTTTATCGATTTTATCGATTTTTGGAGAAGTTTGAGCTGCGGGGCTGGGAGTTGGTACAGGAGGGGAGGGGGGGGGGGGGGGTAAATGAGGATGCTGATTATAACTAGAATCTATTTTATCTATTTCAGCGATTTTCGGAAAATTTTGAGCTAGGAGTTGGTATAGGGGATACGATGCTGATTATGAATGGATCGACTTCAGCCACATATGTCAGCAAGTTTAAGATATAGTTGCTCTAGTTATTCGAAAAATCATTCGAATATCTATTCGAAATTCGACTTCCAATGTTTGAATATATTCGACATTCATTCATTCGATATTTTTGACTTTCCGAATTTATTCGAAATTCATTCATTCGAAAATTTTTAAACCTCGAATTTATTCGATATTCGTTTATTCGAGATTTTTTATTTTCGAATTTGTTTGATATTCGTTTATTCGAAATTTTTTCTTTTCGAATTTTGATATTCATTCATTCGATGAAAAATTTTCGAATTACCCAAGTATACTATCTACGTGAGAGCCCCATGTGTCCAGATTTGCCTGGACACTGCCTTTAAGGCCTGAGCCATATATGTCGATCAGCACTGCAGTGATTCTTTACAACTGGTCATGACTCACTACAGTTGCTGAAAAGTTAAATTGCGACAACTTGCTAAAGTTAGACGTTTAGGCACTCGAGAGCTTTACACGGTAGAGCCGTAGACATCTGGCGAATAGTGAAATCGCGCGGATGTAGCAAACTGACGAGATCGCGGAAGGTGTGCTTTAAGGGTGAACAGCGTATTCAGTAGTGAAATTAAATGCTCCATAAATCTTGATATAGTATTTAGATGATGATTTTGCTGTAGCCGGTATCAAGACTGTTAAAGCATTCATTCCACTGACTTTCGGTCTAGTCGCCTTCCTTAGCCTATAAAGCATAGTCGATTTAGATTCGTCCCATCAAACATCGCATCAGTTGCAGGCCTAAGAAGTAGATTAGTGTTAGCTCACTTTAGCCGATAAAGGTTCCATATTAGCCACATAAACGGTTTAATCCCGGTGCCGGCTACAGTAACATCAACATCTATAGCGTTGCTGAAATTTCTTCTTCTTACTTCATATATTTTCACACTATGAGCTTTACGGCTAAAACAAAGTGACTTCAAGCAGCTGCTTTAGAATTTACAAGGATGCTGACGAAGGAAATAAAGTTTATCTGAACAGCTTTTTGAGAGACGTACTGGGATCTGGCACAATGATTTGAATAGACTGTTTGAGATTTCGTAGCCTTGTGGCTGACATTGACTTGCCTTAGGACCCCACGAAACGCTCTGTTTCTACCAAAAATACCGTCAGATATTGAAAACCTACTACACTGGTCAAAAAAGTCAAACTCGTACAAAAATCGTCTTCCGTGTTTTCCATATTTGATATGACATGCATGACTCGATATCCATAGTGAGCATGTAAGGCTGACAGAACCAGAGAACCAGTGACGTTTTTGCACACGAAAGGCGACTCGTAGTGACCATATGGGACGATATCCGTGAAACGAGACCAGGGTCAAGCATGTTGATGAGATCCGGGACCCTCATTTACGACCCCCCCCCCCGTCTCCTTGAAGGTACGTACGACCCCCCTCCCTCCCCCCCCCCCATTCCCCCTCGCACCCTCCCCCAGGGGGGAGGGTTGAGAGACTACGCATGCGCATAGCATATAACGATGAATTGTACTGTGGCACGAAAGCTGGCCTATGTTCAAGCTTGTGATTCATTTCACTTACTTAGCTTCTCCTATTGTTCACCTGGCCAATAAGTTTTTAGAAGAGGCGTACATGTAAGCGTATTTGACTTGTTCTTCAAGTTGAATAACCAAAAAACATGCCTGCTAGATCCTTTTTCTATTTATGGCCAACAAAACGGATGCTGCACAACATTGTGTTGAAAGCTTGCTAATCGCAGTGAAATTTTGTCCATAAAATCATACAAAAAGAGTGATTCTCAATGTTAACGTGTACTAACTAAGCTCTCCTTCATGCCTACAGTGTATGATAACCGAAATAATATTATAGGCGAGATAAGCACACAAGAAAAAAATTTCCAATATGAAGAATAGACTGATGCGAGATAACTTTCTCGTTTACATATTTAACGACACAACAACCCTCGAATGCCTTGTGCGCCACCTGGCCCATTTGTGCAACCTCATCTTGTATATTCACGCAACCGATCCTGGATAGTGCAGCTTATCCCAAATTTACATGATAATGGATTCTCTCAAAATTCTTTCGAACTTTTCTTTCTTCACAAAGTTAATAATCTAGGTCTAACAAAAGGAAAACAAATTCAAAGCGTGCCTCTCCCCTGCTTGTGCTCTAAACTAACAGTTTTAATAATATTCGCATGTTGGTACAACAGTTGCGATTAAGGCGCTTTGATTGCGAAGATATACGCGTCAGCACCGTTCTACTGAGCTACCAGTCTCAAAATATCAGCTTGAAAAAGTAGGCAAATTCAGAAGTTTAACAAGCAACCTTGCAAATTTCAGAAGTCATGAGACTTCTAAGGGTATAAACAGACATTAGTGCAGTTTTGTGATCAAAGTGTTCAGGGGATACTGCTCAATATAATGTGCGCATGTTATCCCCTTTATGAAAGAAAACAATTTCTTGTTAACACACATCTTGCGCTGGACACCGGTCTTAGAGTCTACCGCCGGACGAAGGCGTAAGGCCTGAGGTATACCCCTAACGAACCCGTCGTTACGATTTTCGATCGTTGCGATCAGACTGTTTCGGCGACCGTTCATTGTGCAAAAATCGCTCATTGATTATCGGACATACCCAAAGCGATTTCTTAGACGCTGCTCACTCACCACACTGCGGTATATGCACTTGGTTACGCTGGTTTGTCTAAAGTGCAGTCTTAAGGAAATTCGAACAGAATGTGGCCTTATATGCTTTCAGAGAGCAATACATCAGACGAGGAAGGATTATCATTTACACTTATCCTAGTATTTACCAACGTTCTTCTACCGGCGCAGTTAACATTTACAAAGAGAGCGACTACTAGCTCACAAATTTTTGAGATTACTCTTTCGGTCATTGGTAAGCATATACGTGGCTTGTAACAGTAAGGCCATGCTATCAATCCTGTAAAAAACTCTAAATAAGCATTTTTTAACACGTTTCGGACCGCGAAATCGCGCGCGGCGAAAAAGAATGTACTTTCAGCCGTTCGCCAACAAAGGGACCTTATTTCGCAGAGTGTTGCCTACATCTGTAATCAGGATATCAGATAAACTTCATAAATTCTGAGTGAGTCCGAAGTGTTTGAGTTTTGTTGCTTTAGAAGGACTTTGTGTTTTTTAAAAGTAAGAACAAGAACTGTGTTTCAAACAGTATTTGAGAGTATGTATAGTGTTCACGGCACACACATCATTGGAACACGGTCTTTCTCTCCGAAATCGAAGCAAAGTTGCGACGTCGCACGCGTCGCCGCGCTCTGTTGCAACTGTTGTTCCATTTGTCTTCATATCTCCTGAACAAATCTCAGCGGCACAGCTCTATAGGGTCATTTGCAAAGTAGGAGCTTAGACCTTTGACTTATCAACCTTGGACTAAAAGAAAACCTCCTGTAAACGTCAAAAGGATTCTTCAAAGCAGCGTGCTGCACCATGTGCAGCACCGATCCGAAACGTGTTAACAGCGAGTGCTGCGCGAGCTCTTTTCTGCCAACCTGCGAGCGATTACATATAAATGCATGAGCAACCGAGACTGCAAATCTGTATTCAGACCTTATAGTAAGAACATTAGAAATTTGGTCACTTACTTGTTATTAATAAACAAAAACAGGAGAAGATTAATGCATTGCGAAAACTGTAAATGCTAACACAGAGGTGAGGTGGCATATGGAAAACATTTCATACCGAGCTGGTGCAGAACTAGCGACGGCGACATCGCTGAGTTTAAGCGATGTCGCCGTCGCTAGTTCTGCGATAAAGCGATATATACTCAATTAAGTGTGCGTGCGCTGCAGGCTCGGAACATTGTCCGAATTGAAATCGCGACGCAACTGGAATCGCGGGAGGCATGCCTTAGGCCTAAAGCATGCCTCCCGCGACATTGTCAGATCGTTACATTTATGCGACTTGGCATTTGCCAGATGACTACAGATAAATTGTGGTCTCAATGCATATGGCATATGCGCGCAGCCTTTGTAAGTGGAAAATGCTGACGCAGCCTGCGACCATCTACATACTGAACTGTGCGCATCATGTACTCTGTAGCCAGTGAAACTGCGTCAAAGCTTCGTGGTCTTTTCGTCAATACTTTACGTCAATTGACAACCTGCGCAGGGAAATCTTGCACAACCGTCAATTTCTTTCTTATAGTCGATGTCAATTACGTACTCCCTTTCGCATGGGAACTACGCATGCGCTACGCAAGGGTCCTGCCTGCGGACCTCCAATCGATGAGGCTCACGTGAATGCCCGAGTCATACGCGTGCGAAATGATGCGCAGCTCATTGCATTTACGGGAAAGGGAGCACGTAATTGACACGGACTGTAGATAAGCCAGAACACTGTCACTGAATTCGTTGCTGCAGTCGAGACAATAGGGACAAAACTCACCTTCAAAAACTGATTACATGTTAAATCCGTGAGAAGAAGGGCTCACCTTTTATGTAGTGTCAGAAGAACCTACAGGTAGAAACTACGACGCTGAAGCGGTCAGTACTTACTAGATCGATACCACCCTGCTAAGGTTTGATTATGATTGAGTCGCAGTTATGAAATTCATTTCTATGATATTCTCATGAGCCTATATTTACAAACACGGGCATTGACTGGATCACATTCTCCTTTCCTCTTCCCCCCCCCCCTCTCCGCTTTCTATCTGAACATGTCTATCCATCTGACAGTTTGGTCAATTCCAGTTAATCTGATTATCCACCTGTATCACCTGTATCACCTGTATCCCCGTTGATCATCGTGTTGCACGAGCGGGTACCAGTGATGCCTCCATTCGTCCCTGTCTCGGGCGATTGTTGACCAATGTTTACGTATCGCACCAGGAACACGTGGAACGCTCTGAAGGGCTTCATTAAAGGATTTCGTGAACATATCTGACCATCGCGTCGGCGGTCTTCCTCGTTCGCGTTTGACGTCCAGTGGTATCCAATCTGTTACAGCTCTCGTCCACCGGTTGTCGTCGAAACGCATTACGTGCCCGGCCCATCTTATCTTGTTCTGCTTGGCGTGCGCGGCAGCGTCCCTGATCTTCGATCGTTGACGTAGGGTAGAACTTCGTAATCCTTGCCTCACTTGCGTGAGTCGATTCACTCCTAGCATCACTCTCTCAACAGCTCGTTCGATGACGCTAACCGCGTGTTCATCCTGCTTCCTCATTGTCCATGTTTCTGAAGCGTACGTCAAAGCAGGAAGAACCGTCGAGTTGAAAAGGTGGGCGCGGAGCCGGATGTTCTTGGTCTTCTTCACTACGTCCTCAATTGTCTTATATGCTCCCCATGCTGCACGTTTCCTCCTGCTCAGTTCCGGAGCTAGATCGTTCATCATATTGAGTTCACGACCTAGGTAGGTGTAGCTTGAGCATTCGGTGATGTTCGTCCCGTTGAGCATGAAAGGAGCATCAGGCACTCTTCCGTTCCTCATGAACATCGTCTTCGTTAGATTCAGCCGTAGACCGATCTTTCCACACACTTCGTCAAACTGGGCCAGCATTTGTTCCGCCTGCGTGATGCTTGGTGTTATCAATACGATGTCATCAGCAAAGCGAACGTGGTGTAGCTGCCGGCCGTCGACTTTCACTCCCATGTTGTCCCATTCCAACTTACGCATGACGTTCTCCAAAGCGGCACTGAATAGTTTCGGCGATATAGTATCGCTTTGTCGCACGCCTCTCTTCACGTCAATGATGATGTCCTTGTAGAATGGTGTTATGGTGGTTGTGAAGTCGTTATACAGCTCACGAATTATCTTGATGTAAAGAGTCGGAATACCTTGATTGCTCAAGGCATCGATGACGGCTTCAGTCTCAACCGAGTCAAAGGCCTTCTTCAAGTCGATGAAGGTGAGACAGAGGGGCATCTTATACTCTCGTGACACTTCAATGAGCCTTGACACCGTGTGTATGTGGTCGATAGTGCTGAATCCTCTTCGAAACCCAGCTTGCTCGCATGATTGTCCTTCGTCCAACTCTCTTCCGATCCTGTTGAGAATGACTCGCGTAAAGAGTTTGTAGACTACAGACAACAAGCAGATAGGGCGATAATTGCCGATGTCGCTGGGATCTTCCTTCTTGTAGAGCAAGTCTTGCTGGTCTTCCATTGTCTTGGAACCTTGCCTTCCGTCAGGTACCGCGTGAAGAGCCTTGTCAAGGTCTTGATGGTAACTGGCGAAAGATTCTTCAGATGTTTTGGCTTAATCCTGTCGGGACCGGGTGCTGTAGGGTTCCTCATCCACGTGATAGCATGACGAACCTCGGAAGGAAGAAAAGGCGGTGGGACATACTCGTTCTCCTTGAGATGGCATGGTGGAAGGTGGACGTGGCTCGCAAATCCGAGTAGAAGTCGTGGATGACCTTCTCCATTGATCTTCGGGAAGCAGTTATGGTTCCGTCAGGACGACGAAGAGCGGTCATCTTTGTCTTGAAGTTGACGAAACTTCGGCGGGCGTTGCGTATACTTCTTCCAGCCTCCGTGGCGTCAACCATCACTGCTACTCTTCTCTCCTTAAGGTCTTCTTTTATCGCTTCTCTGCATCGCTTCGCAAGCTCGGACGTCAGTCGGTAGTTGCCTGTGGCTCGTGCGCGTCCACGTTGGCGTATCAGGATTATCCACCAGGTGAAAAAATTCTGCATTGCACTTAGAACAAAGAGCTCAGAAATATTTGGACGAAAAATGTCGACAAAACTTGTCGGAAGGGTAGATGACACGCCAAATTTTTTATTATCACCTGACAATGTTGACACTTTCTCAGTCTGGACCTACGACAACAAATGATTTATTCACTGGAGCAGAATAGAGAATTTTTTTTGCAGGAGTGATGCCGCACAGATGAAAATAAGTACCCTAATTTCACGCGCAAGGGCCGCGGGTTGGTCCTAGCTTTCATCGACCAGCCCGAACACGGCAAAGGACTTCGCAACCAAAGGACCCCCATACCGTGCTGCGTTTTGCCTGACGAATCGAGCGGCATAAAGATTGCTTCTCAAAACACGTTGGGGTGGCTGAGCAGCTCGATGAAAGCTAGGACCAACCCGCTGCCCTTGCGCGTGAAATTAGGGTACTTTTTTTGATTGTAATATTTTCATGATCATATGCAAAGTCCAGTGTTTTCATCAAGATTTTCGTTGCTTGCATTTTTTCCACATTCCGATAATGTTTTTCCTGGCGTGTACATGTCAACACCGACTATGTTCCCACTGAAAAAATGTTTTCAATCATGATTAGTCGTAAAGATGACAAAAAGTTTTCATGACCTACCCTGGGTAATAATGACATACTAGTGATAAGGTGTCTCCGCAAGTATGTATTCCGCAGCCAATCCACTTCGTTCTTGCTGTGAAGACCTGAAAGGATGGGCTCCTCAAGTGTGGAATTCACAAGTACTTAAATCATCGTGTGGTACAACACTGTTTTTTGCTAATATCAAACATGTATCAAAAGCAGAGTTCGTCCAAATCCTCTCCTAGTTTTCTTCCTGGCTCGCCTTTCTTTCGTTTCGAGGAAAGCAAAATTATGAATTCGGAAAGCGTCATGTAAGATTATTTCAAAATGCTCAGGCAGCGTCCAGGCAGATAAACTTTGTTGCCAGATAACACTATCGAGTTCTGAGGTCTAACTTAGAACTACTGCACGGACCCGCCTTCCGGACACTGCCCCCAAAAAGATACTAGATCGCTTAAACCCCACCCACTTTCTTGCGACGCTAACCCTCGGACAGAACCTCCTCAGCCCTTGACGCGTTTTCACCTGGCAAACAGAACGATATCGCCAGTTTACGGTTCTCACAAAATTATTACAAAGAAAGAAAAAATCTTTTTTACTAGCTGGCTTACGCGGCTCCGCCAGGCCCTGTCAAAACACTATGTTAAAGGTTCTATCCCTATCATTGTACAACCTTTCCCTGTGCCCACTTCCACATGTCGATCCCCTGTTTCCGCTGTGTTAGTAATCAGCATGCGATCAACATGCTAACTTACCCCTCCCCCTTGCCAACTCCCAGCCCCTATCAAATTTTACTGAAAATTGATGAAAATCGATTATCGATTTCGATTGAAGCGAGAAGTAGTCTGCGACACTCGCCCACCCCGAAGTGCATTTGTGCCAAGTTTGGTCCGGATTGAAAGGCCTGATAAAGCAAAAAAAAACGGAAGTCGAAAATATATCCGGACGCTGTCTTCGATGTCGACAAGTGAATTCTCGTTGGACGCTGCCTTCATGGCAATTTTTTTTTCGATAATGATAATGATCTTTCTCTTAGGGAATGGCCATAGGTTGTCGGAAACGGTTGCCAAGGTTGCCGGCGTTGCCGGTCGTGGTGGAACCTCATGGTAGCCTCCACGTTTCTCGCGTTCAACTGTCTCTGACCTAGGCAACACCGGCAACCTCGGCAATCCCAGCAACCTCGGCTCGTTGCCGGCAACCTATGGCCGTTTCCCTTATGAATGTTGAAAATACTCCGCTTCCAAATACCAAATTGAGACAAAAGGAAATTATTGTAGATTTTCAGATGGCGGTTTCTTTCCTAACGTAAAATACTGGTATCGAGAAAATCATTGAGCTAGAATTCGCAGTTTACTAGCCGCTCTTTAACACATTGACGACCGCTTGACACACGCGATGAGTCAAGCAATGACTACCGTGTGGGACCGCTTGACACACCATGTGTGTCAAGGCTAGAATTTTGTCAAAATGCCCACTATCCTGGGATAAACTAGCTCCATGAGCTTTCTTTTGCAGTGGATCTAGGGATGACCTGTTCCTTATCTGTCAGCCTCTCAGATATACCGTAGATGTACTGTAGATGGCAGTGTGCGTAATTATAGTTGAAAAATGTGGGCTGGTCCGTAAAAGACCTTGGTCCCAAAAAGCAGACAATTAAATATCTGCATAGTCGTCAATGTGTTAATGCTCATAAATGAATCGAAGCGATTTTTGGGTTTGAGGTCCTCTTGCTTTTGTGAGAAACGGGGACTTCTGAATTGCATTTCCTAGTAATTAATACCCACTACTTCTATTTCTGAACAAAAAAGTGAGAAACTAAGTACCAAAAAGCCGAGTGAGCTCCTCCACTTCTTTGAAAATAATGACAGCAAGCGCAGTGGAATGAGACGCTACCAAGATCAGTTTGGATCAGGGTTTGATCCCTTCTTTCTAGCCAAGCCCTCTACTTTCGGAGACGGTAAATTGCTAATACCTTAGTAATCAGAGAGGATGAACCACGATAATAATAGCTTGACCTCGCAAGTCATTGTAAAGAATCGCACTGACTCTACCGCTTCGACTACGAAGTAGAAATGCGTGGAAGTCCGCAGAAGGTATCAAAAACACGTCCCTTATTTCTTTCTCCTTCTCTGAAATTTTCAAGCGACATTGCGTTCAATCTGTTTTGCAGTGCGCAGTTTAAGAACTTTCTCCATTTTGAACAAAAGATCAATTATGGTAACGAAAGGAAAGAGTAGAAAGTTGTGAAGATGCTTTTTTGGATTTTGAAGTAACACCACTGTTGTAAATATCCAAATTAGATCAGGCATGAATGATTCTAGACAAAGTTATCCAAATAATCCTTTTACGACGGTGAATACAATGAGGATTAGACTTTCAAAATATCCCACGTTTTCATCTTTTGCACCTTATATAGTCATAAATGTTAGTTATTTCTGTTAATGAAAAGAAGACTGAAGGATGAGTCCTAAGCCAGAAATCAACTTGTTGCCGCCTAGTTTAAGCAGGAGAGAGATCCAAGCTTATATCTGTGACTGGTTGAAGCCAAAAAATTGCCCAAAACTAGTTAGAACAAAGCATTTCCCATACTTGTGTTGCATGACCGATTTCACGTCTCCATTCATCAAGCGTTGAGATGCCAAATTTCCTGATTTCTTCAGACCAAGAAGAAGGAGCACTCTGAACAAATATATTAATCAATTAATAAGGTCTGAAATCTGAATCCGAAATACGTACAGCAGCAGCATAATCACTACGATTAGGACGAGTATCTCCCCAAGCTAAAAACAGATTTTCGCCATAGGAAGCACCCTTCGTGTGGATCATTTTGCACTTCGTTTCTATTGCCCACTTCACAGCCGAATTTTCCAGCGAACAGTTGTATTTCTGGAAATGTACTTCGTATTGAGAGCTAAAGTTAGACTAAATCAAAATACCAACCAATTTATACATTCTGGTAGCTGGAGGTAAACTTCTGAATTTTCCTTTTGGAGTTTTGATTGTATATTCTCCTTTAGCCACCTCGGAGCGATATTTATTATGTATTTCTAATAGAGTTTCTCTTTGTTTGGCTGTCATACTCGTCCCACAATTTGGTATGTCACCACCGTAATCTGAAATAGCTACGATCATGAGGAAGATCTTTAAAAAAATTAGCGGAGGCGATGAATCTTCAAATTTTTGGAATTTTCTCAGCGGAAAAAATTGATACTGTTTTATATAGCATCACGTTTCCAATATCATTTTCCTCTTAGCTTCACAGTGCTTATCTCAATTCATAATATCAGCTACAACATTCTCAGCAAGATTTTAGTGAAAATCCGTGGCCTGAGTACCCGGCCATGTTAAGTTCAAATGTTTTCATTATATAATAGAGAATATTTTATCTTGTAGAATATAAAATTAATATTTTACACTTATTTTCAGTTTTCTACAAAAACCATCACTACGAAAAAGAGTAGTATAAACAAACATCGCTTGTTACCTTCTGTATCACCAAGATTTATTGCTCCACTTCCTCCTAAATCACCAGCTTGTCCTGGAAGCTCTTCTCTTTCCGATCCTGTTAGTTTGTTCAGTTTTGGATTATTGACGAAGAATATTCCTGAAAATATCAATTACAAGTTGTCGGATTATGTGATGTAGCCAAATTGGTACTTTGGGTTCGAAGACACGAGCCGGATATACCTTAGAAGAACAACAACCGGTAGTTGAGTGGAAATACGGGTAAAAGGTGGGTTTTTACATACATCATGTCTTATCTTGAAAAGAAAATTTCCGTAAGAAACACGTGTAAGACTAATGTAGCCTCCGGCTTTTAGAACATATGGACGGAAATTACTTGGCGGATCTCAATTTCCACAGGGCACGATCACTAGGGAATGGAAAGAAGTTGAAATTGCCAGTCCCAGTAGAGTACATATCGCAAAAACTCTCATGGTAGGTCTATTATAACAGCTTGCTACAGTCGAATCATCTCATATGATCATGCGTGCACCGCACACACCTCCATCTTTGGCGTCCTCAACCTGGATTTGTAATCGCAAAAACGCAAAAGACTGACCGATTGCTATTGCTTACATCATTTTGAGGTGAGTCGTGCTTTAAAATGGAAGAAAACGACAGGAACATATCGAGACCTTACTTAAAGGGTTTCCTCCTCCATGAATCCTGGATTGGAACGCCAAAGGTAGACGGTGTGTGCAATGACACACATGATTATATAAAATGATTCGACTGTACCTACGTTCTGTCCGATTTTTGTTGCGTTGCTTTCGAAGCAACTTTTCGTAGAAAATTTTTAACTCAGTACTATTTGTATCACTAGGAAGCGTTTTTCTTGCTTTTCTAAAAGCATATCAAATTTCAATAAAATTCCTAGTCTAACGAAATGACAGGCTTGAAGGCACCGTCCAACCAGATTTTCGACTTCCATGTTTTGGTCGTTCCGGGACTTTCTCGTGTCCGATTCCGAATACGAAGTCAAGAATCCGCACCCCGACAATTCCCTTTTGGAGAACCTGCAGGCCGGCTACGCGGAACGGTGATTGGTAGGTGCGCACGGATGGGCGGGCGTTACGGACGGGGCGGTGCCGACTTCGGGTCCTCATGCCTCTTCGCTATTCCGAAGCGATCTTCTCGCTACCGAAGCGACATTTTGAACCGCGATATGGGCACTGGCTTTATAGGGGCCTACTTTTGTAAGTTGTCAAAAGCTCAATACCCTAACTTAGGGTGCGTTTAAGATTCCAGATAGGCGAGATACGGTTTCACCTAGAAATACGTTCTTGCAAAAAAATTTCCACATTGCCCTCCCCCCTCCAGTCAAGTCCTTGTATTGGTCACAGAATAAGGGTGATAATGCACAAAAACCTATTTTCATGTAAAAACCCTTGCTTGGAGAAAAAAATCCGTCTCGGTCCCAGAGTGGCAAGAAAATTCCTTAAATTGGCCCATTTCAATATCGAATCCCAAAAGCTAGCCCACTTCGTGATTGAATATAAAATATATTTTAAAGTCTAAGAATGGTTGTACATACATGCCATGCAGCTTCATCCAACGTTGATGTTGCGAACCAAAAGTTTTCCAAATGTTTTCAGAACGGTTTTATTTCAAAAATTCTCGCTCTTTCTTCTACTCACCCACTATTCGAGCAACATTTCGCTACATCTTATTACTTATTCTATTCAAGAAACAAACAAACACACAAAGCAATTTGGGCCCGAATGTCTCTCAGAATCCTTCAATCTATTATTTGAAAACATCAACTTTATTTCCTTAAGATTCTCAAATCTTGCTGGAACTTTGATTAGACACATCTTATAAATTATGCTCACTCCTTAAATGGAAAAGCTGAGTTATTCCTTATATCAACGTCAAGACTATTATAGAAAGTTTAAAAACAATGGAGATGCAGAGCTATTTTCTAAGCTTGACTACCCACTCTTTTTTTAGGAATGTCGTTTCAAAAATCAGCGGCAGCGGAGGTACATAGCGATTATTATTACAGTTACTGCCTAAATCGGTATTGAGAAAATGTATTTGTGTATTCAAATGATGTTTGAGCTCGTTGGCCTAATGTTGATAGCTCGGGAGTAGCCGCGCCACTTTGAAGTTTTCTGCCACTATGCGTATCAGGTCAAGTTAGTTCAAAGTCATGGATTTTGAAAAAAAGAGTAATAGTCCAGAAAATTGAGCTCACCGGGCAAATCGTCTTCAGGAAATTTTGCTTTCCCCGATACTTCCAATGCAAGCAAGGCGGAGATGATATGAAACTATTTGTTAGTAATAGCTTATCTGAGAAGCTGGATGAAACTTACCAGGACTTTGAAATATTGCAGTAAAAGCATTATGAAACGCTCTGATAACTGGAGCCACTGCACTTCTCTTTTATATGTACGAAATATTAAAGAACATGTTGTATTAATCCACAAGCATGACGTGATTGTCTTCATCATAGTGCTAACATTTTTGAGATATGTATATTAGTAGGCATTATGATAGAGATTCGCACTGCAAAGGTGACTTTCCAGATGACGTTTCTGTTCATATTGAGCTACAAAGGACTTCGACTGACATTAATTTTGCCCAAAGAGAGCCGTTATGTTGTTGTTGAGCAAGCAATAGCAGTGCATCATGAAAAAAGTGCTTGCTTGCCCTTTTCCTAGGCAATTGTCGATGAAGAAGAGCTTACTAAGAATTTGGAAATTTTGTCGTCTCGCTCCGCGTTTCTCGCGAAAGCGTTCTGCAACTTTCCCTGTAATTCTGAAACAAATCTTGTTTTGTTTCAATTCAGCACAATCACGGTGCCTTCAAGCTTTCCTGTCTGTAAAATACGAGGAACCTAAGTGGCCAACAACATGTACCTAAGTGCGATTTAAATTTGAAAGCTCTTTTAGCTCATTAAAATCTCTAACACGCAGGGATATACAAGGTGATTACTCCAAGGACCACACTAAGCGCTCACAAAAATTTCTCTCTAGCCGTATCGTTCATGACATGGACAGACTTGAAGGTCTCCGCGCAAGAATTCGATCTTGTGATTTTGCTTCCCTAAAACTATTCGCCATGCCAATCGGAAAATGCGCACTAGAGAGGTCGAAAACGTTAGGAAAGGTGTCGTGGCGATGTCAGGGCTGTTAGCGAAAGCGAGAAGATCGTCCCTGAAGCTGGAAGAGTGACTTAACAGAGTAGAAGGCCCTACCCACTTGGTGATTTCTTTCCTGCGCTAGAGCCCTTTTCGCTTTTCGCGCTCTTCAACGTGGATTGTAGGATACAGCACAATAGGCCCAAGTGAGCAAAAAACCTCAAAACGACTTCTTACCCGGACGCTGTCTTCAATAAATAGACGAATCTTTACTGCAAAGCTACCTCGGCTCAAAATTATTCTATAAATTTATCCGCAGTGCAGAAGTAGTATTATCATCAACGTGGGGTTGTTCACATTTAATTCCATATGTTGTGTGTTGTTGATTATGCTCTATAGTATTACTCTACTGTTTGTTGCATTTAAACAAGTTATTTCGAGGCTATGAATAAGAAGAAATAAGGCTAAATAAAATGACGACGATAAGAGCTTGCTGCTACAGACATTTTCTGGTAATACTGGGTGCGGAAAATGTACTGTTTTTTAAAATAAAGGAAAAAAATCGGCGTGAATCCCAGATTTTTCTGCTAAATCTGACATAAGTCCTAAGTTGTGAATGTATTCTTGCATTTTACAAAAACTGGCTTCAAAATTTTGCAATTTCAAACGGTGGCGGATCCCTTTTCGCAACTCCTCCCATATCAAATCTTGCAACTCTCCCTTCTGGAAATGTGAAGGAAGTGTGAAGTTTTTTGTGAAATTCTTTTGTTTCCGAAGTGGGTTTGAAAAACCTTCTACTGCTTAAGAAATGTTGTAGTGTCTTCGACATACGCTGGAAGTATCCGGATCGCAGTTGCAGTAGGGGAAAATTTGGGAAATTTTTTAACGAAGTAGCGTCTGCAGCGCAACAGAGTGCGATCGCGAAAACGTGGCACATAAACTAAGTTTTATCGTCTGTTGACTCAAAATTATAATCTATACAAACCCGATGTTCTTTTCACTATTCTATATTTTTGGTATCTGGAATTTCGAATCATAGTCCGGATCCAATTCGTTGAGCAAGAGCATAACTGATTAGCCTCTTTTTGAGTATTTTTGAGAATTCTTGGGTTTTGCTTGGGATATAATTTTCTTTGTTTATACGTTGACGACAATGTGACCCACATGGTGGGTCATGCAATGAATGTGGTTTTAAAAGTTCCGTTATTATGCTTTATTCCTAAGGATTACTTCCGGGTTTCTTGACTGCTTCTCAAAAACGCTGTAGGAATACTGCAGATGACGGCCTGCTTGATTTTAGTTAAAAATACTGAACTTATTTTAGAAGACATCGTCCCACAAGGCAGGCAGCTAAAAATGCACGCTGTCGTAAACGTGTTAAAACAAAATTTCAAGTCGTAATCCATAATATCCATAATAATAAACAAAAACGAAATAAATACCTAATTCCGTTTCGTTCTTACTCACTATACGGAAATTAAGCAAAATATACGATCTTCGCGGAACTCATCAGTAGTGATAAAGTAACGAATAAACATGCGAAATTTCCACTATCATAAATCTGGTGTTTGAAGAAGTCAGCAGTTGCGACTTCATAGGTTTTGAAGAGTAAATGGTGCTCTATCAAATAGTGAAAAATCGAGTCGATTTGAGAGATATTCTCCGATGACCAAAATTCTAAAAAAATTACGCATTTTAGCGTGTTTAATGACAAGTGACAATTGAACTCATATAAATCTTGAATGTAAAAGTGTGTGATGTTGCGACTTCATAGGTTCTGTAGAGTAAGGTTTGCCTTATCAGGATATATCTTAGCTGTATCAATCCATTGAAAAAGCGCCGAGATACAGGATCTTGAAAAAGCAGGTAGAAAAAGCGCTTTTTGAAATTCAACAGCTCATAATTTCTTCAGAATTGCATGAATCATGTTGTGACTGTCAAGTCTGAAGAGTTAGCTATTCTCTTAACTTGATTCCTCTACCCTTAGTTTCTTTCCTTTGTAATATAATAACAGTTCTGACTAGATTATTTTATCGTTATAACATAAATATAAATGTGGGAGAACATAATTGGGGAGAGGACCACCGAGCACCCGGGGAGTGCCAGCTCATCTGAAGTTAATGGCACCGCCCAGTCGGCGGGGGGACTGTCGGACTCTAATTAGGGCCGCATGCACTAACATCCCCGCGGGGAGGGGATCGCAGCTTAAAAGAATTTTTATTTCGAAACTCCAGATACCTGGAGTTTCACTTTGTGTACCTATCCGTAAGTATTCCTACTACCCTTCAGTATGAACATGTTGAACAGGAGCGAGAAGCTGTACGAACCGCGTTTTCCAGCTTTTGTATGATCCCTAATGATCCCCGGCGCTTTTCTTTAAAGTCATTTTTCTTTCTTCGAAGTTAACGAAAACCTTCCAAAATTGTACTGAACATCTAACACAACAGTGCTAAGCATGTTGCTGATGAGAACAAATGATGTTTTGAAGTCATGAAATTTTCGATGATCCACAGATCGAAATTTGAGGTTTACCGAAAAACTCGACTTTTCAAAAACTCATTTGTTCTCATCAGCAACATGCTTAGCACTGTTGTGTTAGATGTTTAGTACAACTTTGGAAGGTTTTCGTCAACTTCGGAGAAAGAAAAATGACTTTAAAGAAAAGCGCCGGGGATCATCAGGGATCATGCAAAAGCTGAAAAATGCGGCTTGTACAGCTTCTCGCTCCTGTTCAACATGTTCATAGTGAAGGGTAGTAGGAATACTTACGGATAGGTACACAACGTGAAATCCAGGTATCTGAAGTTTTGAAATATAAAACTTTCTTTAAAGCTGCGATCCCCTCCCCAGCGGGGAGGTTAGTGCATGCGGCCCTTAGTCTGCGTCTCGACATGTCCATTCCATGGCAAAGCTCGTCCTCGAGCTTTTGAGGTTGGCCATGGTTATTGAGTTGTCATCAGTGGCTTCGCTGGGAAGTTGTCCATATGCATGGTTGCGATGTCATCATTGAGTTGGACGTTGCTCATATGTACAGTTGACGCCATAAGTGTAGTTGATGTTGCCCATTTACCATTTGCTGCTTTGGTTGAGGGCAGACTTGCTTCAGGCGTTAATCGCTGGATTTTTCTTAACAAGGACAGGGGGAAAAGGGATGAGAAGGCACGCTTTCGCACGCCCTGTCAGAAGAATGAGTTCGTCTCGAACTGAAAAAAGGGAGCAACATGGACGAATGATGAGATGATTCAAATGATGATCAAATCGGGGTACGGATGAGGCTTCCGTAATTCTTTGGGGAGGCGGATAGGGATTTCCGCATGGTATCGTCGTCTCCCCGGTGTACGTTGGGCGGAGCTTTTGCGGACATTTTAACACGTTGGTGAACTTGTTAACCCTCTACGATGAGGCATTGTTTTTTGTGATCTCTCGCTACCAACCCTGCCACGTGTGACAACAGCATATAATCGTGGCAGGTTAGAGAGTACAAAGAACCACACTTTGAAGTGGATGCTTGACAAGTTTACCAACGTGTTGAAAGTCCGCAAAAGCTCCGCCCAACGTATGCCGGGGAGACGACGATAGCAAAATGTGGCAGAGGGTATAGGGAGGCGGGCAAAGACCGCACTGGTGATGAAATGTGACATACGGGTATATGATGACATCCGTGAAGAAAATAGTGAGCATTGTTGTAGAAAACGAGATTACTGGCATGGAATAATATATAAATCAGCAAATAACAAAATGAATTATGTTCGAGGTTGGCGAAGGAACGGAATGTATATTCCGAACATTTGCCGTTACAGAGCATGGTAAGCTATGATATGGACATGTAAATTCACAGGATATTGACATTTTTTTCTAACCTGCAAGCAACTCAGGAGGCAACACTTCCCTAACGTTGATTACAAAGGGCGTGAGTGAAAAGTGATTGACTGAAAGCCTTCTTCAAGCCGCCAATCGGAGAAGTCTTCCTTTTTATAGTGCGATGGCTTGCGGGCAAACTTACAAGTGTCAGTAGCTGCTGCGTGAATGAGATTTGTGAGGTTGCTACTGGCACTTCTCACTCACTATGAGGGAGACCAATCCGTTGCTTGTCTCAGACGCTCTGAACGTCTGAGATTAGGCTCATTAGAACGTGGAGTCTCTGCCTCTGTGTGACTAGATTGTGGTTGCACAGAGGCTTCACGCTCGTGTGACCTGCTGTAATACAATTTGAATCTGTTCACATGCACTGTTTGTGACTTATTGTTGAACAGACTTTTTATGGTAACATTGGGACGGCACATGGAGGCAATCACAAATGGGCCTTTCCATTGGAGTGAGAATTTGGGACGTACTGTGTCGTCATGCAATAGAACAAGATCTCCAATGGAAAGGTCCTTACTGTATACCTTCTTCTGGTAGTCGTAACCAGCTTTGTAGTCAGCCGTTTTCGCTGCTATGCTGAATCCCACTTCCACTATTGTAGTCTGCAAGGCTGTCGCGAACTGGCCTGCGAAGTTATCTGTAGCAAAAGTGAGAGTAGAATGTAATTTGTGAATAACGTCCATCCATGTGACCTGATGTCTACCATGTATCACAAAGAACGGAGTGCACCCTGTCGTATCGTTCTTGCTATAATTGTAGGCAAAAACGATGGGTTGGAGGAATTCCGTCCACAAGTCTCTGGCTTCTGAGCAGTAGACGTGAGAGAATCCAAGACAACTTTTATTATTCTTTCAACCTGGACGTTCGCCTTATGGTTGTAGCTGGTTGTAAAGTTGTTTGCAATTCCTAAGCATTTGCATTCTGTTTACCTGAGTGAAAAGCTCGCTCACGTAGTTTGAGCCTCTGTCGCTAACGATTTCGTTAGGGATCCCAAGCTTAGATACCACATCGTTGATTAGCGCTTTTACTACCAGATCAGCCGCTTGATTTATCAAAGGCGTACAGATAATGTACTTACTGAAAGCGCAGACCGTAATAGCTATGAATCTGCTAAAATCAATACACTGTAGTAATGGCCCTATTTACGTCAATGTGAATACGCTCAAAAGAACGCTGAGGAATGGGAAAAGTTCCCAGTTCCTCGCGAATGATATTTCCTGCTGATGTTTTCACCTTTTGACAGGCTGCGCAAGATCTAACGTAACTAGCGATATCCTGATGCATGTTTGGCCATTAGTACTTATCCGAGACCTTTGTGTACGTTTTTCGAATTCCCAAGTGGACACCTAGCAAAGGATTATCATGAAGAAGTTTTACGATCTGTTTTTGAAGTTCAGAATCGAATATGACAAGTTTTGGTCTTTCGTGAGCCTTATAGTACCATGCCCCAGTAAAAATGGAATATTTGTCCAATGAACTCAATAACTGCTGTGAAGGGTTTTTAGCATTCCCTGTTAAGAAGGTGATCAGACTTCCAAAATAAGAATTTTGCTGGCTTTCCCTGATGGCATCTAAGCTAGGAATTGAGTCAGGGGTAGTAGAAATGTTCATTATTACTGGATAAGGGCTCAAAAAAATCGCAAAACTTGTTATGTTTACCGGGTCGATATTCAATTTTCAGAACGTAAGCTTGTATCATGATTTGGTATTTCGCCAAACGTCCAAGGTCCGATCTGTACAGTAGTGACTTTAACGGAGCATGATCAGTCACAAGTGTAATAGAGGCATCAGCAACATACGGGTAGACATGTTTAAGCGCAAAGACTATAGCAAGTGCTTTAAGCTCTGTGATGGAGTAGTTCTTTTCATGCTTGTTAAGCGGGCGACTACAATATGCAATTGGATATTCATTCAGAGTTTGCGGGTTTTTCTGTAATAAACAAGCACCTAATCCTACGGTTGACGCATCTGTATGTATGATGTAGGGCTTACCTATGATAGGAGATGCGAGAGTTGGAGTTGTAGTAAGTGCTGTTTTCAGAGAAACGAATGCATTCTCATGAACATTCTGTCCATTCAAAAGGAGTATTTTTGGGGAGACGAGCGTTTAGAGGTGCCGCAGCGTAAGAAAAACGAGGAATAAATCTACGGAAATATGAAGCTGCACCCAAAAATGATTTAAGCGCCCTACCATCTTGAGGTCTTGGAGTTTTTGTAATGCTGGCAACCTTTTCCGGATTGAGTCTAGTCCCGTTTTTGCTTATGAGCACACCTAAGTAAGGGACTTCTTGCTGAATGAACGAACATTTTTTTGGAGTTAGTTTCATTCCAAAACTAGCAATTCGCTGAAAAACCTCTTCCAAATCACGAAAGTGATCATCTATGGGATGACTGGCAATGAAGATATCGTCTAAATAAGCAAAACAACAAGCTTTCAATTCTCTTGTTAAGCTGTTGGCTACTCTTTGGAACGTACCAGGAGCGGCCTTTAAACCTTGAGCCATTACAGTGAAGTGGAAAAGACCTAGAAATGACGAAAACGCTCCGCTCTTCCAGTTAAAGAGCAAATGCTCAAAATTTTACAGAAATTCAATGTTACATACGAAAACAGTTACTCATTAGCCAAGCTATTACTTATCTCAAATATCGTAAGATTTTGCGGTTCGACATTTTACCTTGTACAGCTCAAGTAGAGAATTTTGTAACCCACTAAAGTCGTTAGATCACCTGTTTGGATGAAATAAAATTGAGCCTTATTTCAGTGAATTGACACTTGTGTCAGCTTGCTTGACAAGCGGGTTTTCTCGTGGTGCGCGGGCTCAAATGTGGCCCCAGCCGAGGCATGAAAGCATTATATATATACAACTAGTTGACTTACTTGGCTCCTCCCGGCGCTGTCATTATTATATTCGTAATCAGCATGCTCGATTACCCCCTTGTGCCAGCTCCCAGCCCCGTAGCTCAAATTTTGCAAAATATCGATAAAATCGATATCGATCGATGACGAAAAGTAGCCTATGACACCCGCCGGGGCCCGAAGTGTATGTGTGCCAAGTCTGGTTCGGATCGGTTCAGAAATGGAATTTTCTATTCGGAACATACGTACACACAGACATACATACATACAGACAGACAGACAAACAGACATTTAGCTTTATATATATATAAGATAAAATAGACATTTTGCGAGAACAGCTACCAATTTCCAATTACGATTAATCCGAAGCGCACGTATGCCCACATACAGTACCGTCCTTGCCATAAAGTTTTGCGATGTAGCCGCGAGCACTCGTAGTCAGCTTAAACATCCAAAATTGCTCAGATCGTACTTTTTTAAATAACCGACGTCAGTAAAAGTTCACGGTCTCAATATTACTAGTTTTTTAGAAGGCTGCCTTTGATCTTGCCAAATGTTATAAGTGCTTCAGTTTGGTATATCTTGTTGGTCGCCAGCTGATCTACCCAGAGGGGACTGCTAATTTTGTTTTACTTCTTGGCCTCTCTTCTTGCTTAAGCACCTATCTTCTTACACGTGTTATTCAAAAATAATGCACATAATCTTTGTCTCAGTAGGAGTGACGAATGGTGCGGCTCAGAACCCGCCAAACCATCTTGCTCCTTCTCGTGAGCGTGTTCTCTGATCTTTTCCCACACCTGAGAAAAAGCTTGCGAAAGCGGTGCAGAGCCCAGGCGAGGCGGCCGCGCGGCAGTTCAGCCGCACAGCTCCTACTTTAACTAATACAGTGTGTATGCCAAAAATTTGTTATATGAAATCAATCTACGGATCTATCAATTTCTCAAACTTTGTCGCATAGTTTCTTCTTTAGAAAAATTTCGCCGAAAAATCACACGTGACGAAAAATACATGAATTTTTTAGTAATTGTAACTGTCTTCTTTATTCTACAACCTTGATTCTTCTAAAATTTGCCTTTGAATCCCTGAACTAAATTAGTGAAATGACCAATTCATTAAAGCATAGAATAAAACTAAAAACAATCCTGTTGCCATTCTTTACGGGGCGCAGAGGTATAGTGCGGCGTTACACTTGGTATCAGGTGGGCATGCAGTGCAGAAATTTCCTGGAGCATAAACTGTTTCGCCAACAACATTTCCCCTGAACAAAAAGGTATTGATCCTTGAGCAATAAATGATGGTGCAGTTTTACTTAGGAGAGTAACGGCAAACAGTAATGTAAAATGGCGAACAATGTACGAGCTGAGCAGCCCAAGTACTGCGTTGCTGCCCATGCCATCTAGAAAGCGTTTCATTCAAAGATGGATGATTACTTTTGAGCGTAGGTATACCTGTGTAAATGTAATTATTGCAGTTCCTACATGGGTTTTCCGAAATTTAGCGCGACTCGAGACTAGGGTGGACTTCGACTATCTTCCACCATGAATTTACAGCCTGAGTGTACAATCAAGCCTTATGCCTGATCAAAAATTTTGTTTTTAACAACCTTGTTTGCTGCCTGTTTTAACGACGTAACTCCTGTCTCTGTCAATTGATACATATTTTCACCCTGTCCAACTCTAGTATCTTCTGTCGAACCTTTCTTAGGACACTGGCTAGCGAATTTGATAGCCGAAAACTACAGGCCACAGTCATACCTCTAAAGTGCATTTGATACGAAAAGCATAACGGCATTGCAAGTCACCAATTTACGCATATTTGCTGCTGCCGGTAAGTAGGCCCCAGTGTTTTTAGTCACTTTTCCAAGTGCAAGCAAACTATGAGCATCATAACAAAATTAATACTAATATAGCTTCAGCTTTCACCTGCGGCTATTGTGCATATCCAGAATCCTCAAACCCAGCTTATCTGTCATGTGATAGCTATTGGGGCAAATGATGTCCGCTGAAAAGAAGGCATGTTTCTTTGGTCAAACTTTCCCAGTGCTTCAATTATTCTTTAATGGCTTAAGATGTAGGAATCGCATGCGAAAACACGCCAAACTAGCAGAAAGACCTAGGCCCGTAGTAAACCTCCATTCATCTCAGGTGACTTGAGATTAATCACTCAGAAGAAATTCCTCGGGTGAACCTAATCCCGCCCAACTTCCCGTGCTTTAGGATAGTCAGTTCAACAGTAAGAAGACTGTCCGGTTAAGTGTCACAGTCAGTTTACCAGAATGCCACTTATCCGAGGTTAAATTTTCGGGTGACCCGAGAGAGATAGTGTGCTTAAGAGGAGGATCAGACAAATTTCCCGTAAGTTGCTCTTGAGTAACTTACGGGAGAATTCCGCTAACGTACTACTGCGGTGCAAAATCCCCAAAATTGCACAATTTCGGCAGCCTAAATGGGAGAGGATCAATGAACAGCTGATAGCGGAGAGAAAAGCAAAAAGAAACAAGATTTCTTCTTTTTTTTTTCAGGGCTCGATTACGTTTCTCTTTTAAAAACTGCTTTAAACAAGGATTTCTTGAATTGCTTTAATTGTTTTATGTTCCAATTTTTTCGTTTTAACGTGATATCTTCGTCAAAATGTGATTGTTTTGTTTTATCCATTTGCTTGCTTGGCGATATCCTTGATAGCGGTCGCCATCGATTTTTCTCGATAACGGCCGCTATCAAAGATTGTCCTGCGGTGGCGCAAAATGTGCCCCTAACCGGCTTTGAACCATGAACTTTCGTGTTGAAACCCATTCACTTAGTCGTTCGACCAAACCGCTTAAGGGGTTTGGTTTTTGTGAACGCACAAGATCTCTAGGTGTAGAAAGCGATCGAATCCGGATCGATGGCTCACCGGATGCCGGACTGAGTCGTTCTACGTTCAACGTAGGCCCGCCCCCAGCCGAGTTGCGCTGAGAGGGGGTTTACTACGGGCCCTAGCTTTTCTTGTCTTTAAACCCACTAAGGCTTTATTCTGTTTGACTAAATAGCTTTGTTCAATCATTGTCTTCGGCTTTGGCCATACTTTGCCCGTGTTGCCGATCTTACCAGTGTTACCGGTTTCGCCGATGTTTCCAGTGCTACTCGTGTTACTCGTGTTTCAAGTGTTACCGCCTTTTTGCTGTTGATTCTTGAAATGATTGCCAGTACAGTTTCATTCTTGAACGTAGTCTCAACTGTGTGGTGAGTATACAGGACCTGAGGCGATCATACTTCAATAATAATACCATGCTAGAAACTTGCTTCAAAAAAGTCCTTTTTTATTTCAGTTTTTTTCAGTTTTAGTTTCGAAAGTTTTTTTCAAAGAAGGGAAAGTGCTCCCTTCTCACATATGGCCGCGCAAATGATGACACGTCCGAGGACAAGGTTTCTTGGAGTTCGGTCAAGGCGTACAAAACGTTGACCAGTACGTTAGAGCTTATTGTGCTACAAATCAAACATTATGATTATATTTGTGTCACAAAGACTTTTGAAGCAAGTTTCTGGCATGGTATTATTATTGAAGTATGATCGCCTCAGGTCCTGTATACTCACCACTCGGTGAGACTACGTTCAAGAATGAAACTGTACTGGCGATCATTTCAAGAATCAACAGCAATAAAGGCGGTAACACTAGAAACACGAGTAACACTGGAAACATCGGCAACACGAGTAACACTGGTAACATGGGCAAAGTATGGCCAAAGCCTTCCTCTTAACTCCTGTCAACTCATTATTACATGAAAATAAAAATTATTTTACGTCTTACCAGGGAAGACACTTTGGTCGAAGTGGCCATATGGAAAGTGATGCATATGGATAGACAGCTTTTCGTACGCTGATCTCAAAACTTTTCTGTAAAAGAAGTTATGAGCCTTTGCTCTCCCCAAAAGAGGCCTTCCTTTTATCAAAGCGCGGCAAGGCTTTTTGCTTGTGGTAGCGTGGTGTAGTGGTGAGTGCCTGCGGTTTACAGGTGAGTGAGCAGGATTCGAGTCCTGTTGTCGTCCACCAGTTTTGCATTTTTCTAAAATTTTTGCTTGCCTCTGGAAATGCCGCATATGGACAATTCATCATGTAATCCGCAACAAGTGATCAATTATTGAATGCGCACGCTGTGAAAAGCATTTTTGCTTCCAACTCTTTCTGACTGGTTACCATATCTGCTCACATTTTTGCTGTTAAAGATCTTGTATATCTTAATAGCTGTTACAACAAACTCCTCAGCTTTAAAGCAATTACTACATTCTCCAAATATAGGCCAATTGATCACTTTAAATTTTAGAAAAATGCAAAACTGCGGCGACAACAGAACTCGAGCCCTGCTCACTCATCTGTAAACCGCAGGCACTCACCATTACACCACGCCGCCAACGAAAATGCCTTCCCGCGCCTTGATGAAGGGAGGGCCGCTTTTGGGGAGAACAAAGGCTTATAACTCCCTTTACAGAAAAGCTCCACAAATAGCGAAAGCAGTTTTAAGACCAGCGTTCGAAGAGCTGTCTATCCATATGCATTACTTTCCATATGGCCACTTGCTGTCTATTCATATGCATCATCCATATGGCCACTTTGACCGAAGTGTCTGGTTAGAGCGCCAAAAAAAATCCCTAAGCTAACCCATTTCAATATCGAATCCCAGAGAAATGCATAGCTCTTTTATGTTACCTACTACCCTTTTTTAATAATGTAGTTTTCGAAAATCAAGTGAAGGGTGGGGAGGGGGAGTTGCAAGTATTGTAACTACTGCCTAGATCAGAATTAAAAAATTGTATTTGTATATGAATGACGTTTGAGCTCGTTGGTAAGTGTTCTACGAGTCTTATTAAGCAACCTTCAGAAAATCAATTTTTCCATGGTATGTTTTTACGTATAGCTTGATGTAGTGATCCGACCGACTTTGAATTCTCTACCACTACGCGTATCATGTTCATAACCATGGATCTGAAAAAAGAAGTTCTAATTTAGATAATTGAGCTTACCGGAAGAACTGCCTTCAGGAAATTTTGCACCTTCCCCTGACACTTCCGACGCAAGCAATGAGGAGATGATATGAAACGATTTGCTAGTAGTAACTTATCTGAGAAGTTGGATGAAACTTACCAGGACTTTGAAATACTGTAGTAAAAGCATTATGAAACGCTTCGATAACTAGTGCCACTGCGCTTCTCTTTTATATGTACGAAATACCAGAGATCTTATTGTATCAATCCACAGGCATGACGTGATGGCTTCATCATAGTGCTACCACTTTGATATATGTGTATGGGCATTATGATGGAGATTCGCACTGCGAAGGTGATTTTCCAGATGACGTTTCTGTTCATATTGAGCTACTAAGAACTTTGACTAACAATAATTTTGCCCAAAGAGAACCGCTATGTTGTTGTTGAGCTAGCAAGAGCAGTGCATTATGAAAAAAAGTGGTCGCTTGCCCTTTTCCTAAGCAATTGTCGATGAAGAAGGGCTTACTAAAAACTTATTTTTTGTCATCTCGCTCCGCGTTTCTCGCAAAAGCGTTCTGCAACTTTTCCTGTAATTCTGAATCAGATCTTATTTTGTTTTAATTCACGACAATCTGCAAAAACTTGAGAATCCAGGTTTGGATGTAATGAAACAGTGGACGGCACCGCTCAAATTTGACCTTTTTCTATTCTTAATATGGAAAGTATAATTCTAAAACAATGCGACTCGTGGCGAGATGTTTTTGTGATAGCAGATAATATTAGATTACACCCTGGATGTTGAGTACAGGAAAATTTGTTTGCTCATTGATACGATCACCGAGATAAGCTACGGCGTATACTTGATCTTGTTTTCTGATGAGTACAGAAGGCCAATGATTGATAACTCCAACCATTCTGATGATGTCAGTGAGAACGCCACGTTCATACAAGTATACGAGTCAAGACGCGTTTGCCAAACAATCATATCCATGTGATTGGTACTAGCGGCTGAGGTGTGGCCGCACAAGGTAGATCTTGTCAAGCATCTTCAGCTTGACTGTGGTTCCTCACTCATTGTCAGTATTCTTTCAACATGCTGATGTGTATTGTAAGTTGCTCAGGAGTAACTTATGTACAAACCTCGTTAGCAGATTTCGAAAGGTCACCACTCTGATCATCTCTCGAAAGTCTCTCTCTCGTCACCTGAGTCAAGTGCGACAGGGATATGATCTTCTCTTGTCGAACTTAACTCAGACTCAGTGACATTGCATTCTTATAGCATGGGAAAGTGGGCTGTCGTCATTTAATCTGACGGAACCTCACATGAGAGCTTGAGGGGAGATCATCTCCCTGATAGAGGTTTACCACGGGTCAGTTTCTTTGTTTATGTGTGCTACTGCATATTTCTATAATATTAGCGATCAATAAGACGTTTCCCAAATGAACAGAGCATAATAAGCGATTACATTGATGCTTTACCAATTGGCTGTGCCTAAACAATCGAGAAAACCAAGAAAAGCCTCAAATACAAGAACTGCTCCTAAGAACTCAAAAAAGATGTGCGATTTGCAAACATAAAGGAAACCTCGTCGACTATAAATGGGTGAAGGCTATTGGTACGGGTATTGCTCACCTGTAAGTCTGGTGTTCAATATCAAACAAACGTTACAGTTGTTTCCTTACGAGTTCGCCGAAATGTGTTCTGTGCTGTGAAAATCTGTATTAATCTTGGACTACGCTCAAACAACTGACAAGAAGATTACAAGCCAAGATTCATGGATAGTCGGACATATATGCTGATGGTTGTTTCTTCCGCCATTTATTCTGATTATTTATTTTGCAGCGCACATATAAAAAAAGCGCTCTCGTATTCAATTTAACTAAACAGTAGAAAGATAATCAAATACTTGTAACCGCTTTCATGTAGGCTTATAAGGAGCTGACTTAAGTATTTCACCTCAACAACCTTTGTGGAAGGACAAAAATTTTCAAGTACTGTGCTAGAACTATTCTATATGACCCTGTTTACGTGTTATATTAGGTCGTTTCGAAAGTATCTTCGCTTTTTTTTTTGAACAAGCGCCATATTTCGCAGAACAAAGGTTTACAGAAGCACTTGGAAGCAATCGATGCAGTTTTTCAAGCTCTTTCGAAAGGTCGTCTTTATTTTGCAGTTGAAGCAGTAACCCCCCAGAAAATTACAATAAACTGCGTTCAATGCTTTTCGAACCTCGGAACACTCATTTGTCTTGTAGAATTAATGCTGAATCCTAATCCACTTTGAAAGTAACAAAATCGAGAATTTAATGGAGTTTGACGAGCGTGAGTCTGGTGTGTTCTGCTAAAATTCGATGGTGTTTTTTAAAATTCTGTCAAAAAATTATGGGGAGCCCTGGAAAGGAGAATAAAATTGTTTTGTATCCTACTTTGTTTGCTACATCCGCAGGTTACTTCTTCTTCGGGAAATTAGCTCAAGAATTCAGAAATATTGCGGAAACTTGGTAAGAAGTTTGTTTCAGTTTATAGTAATTTTCCGAAAGTTCTTTGCTTTATTTGCAAAACAGGAAATTCGAAAGAGCATAAAAAACTGCATCGATTGCTTTGAAGTGCTTCTGTAAATCTTTGTTCTGCGGACTGTGGCGCTTGTTCAAAAAAAGCGAAAATACTTTCGGGACAACCTAATACATCACCAAGCAGTGGCGTACCCAGGATTTCCGTTCGGGGAGGGGGCCACAAAAAAATTTCTGATGAAGGTGCGTAGCGTCAACTACGCACCCCGGATAATTTTCTGGTATGATTCCTAAAATTTCCGCGAGCTCATAACTCCGAAATTCCAAAAAAAGGGAAAAAAATTCTGGAAAAAATTGATTTTCAAAAAATTTTAATAATTATTTTAATTAATGAAGAGTATAAACGAGTCACTTGCACATTTTTATAACTCCTGTGAGCAACTTTAAAAAATTACCACCACTGTCTATTAGTTTCTACTTACTAATCGTTCGCTTTTGCTTACCTTTTTGAAGCATCATAAATTTGTTTTATCATTGTAGAGTTTGATTAAAAATCAAGTATTCGCTAGTATTTGCTTGATTTTAGAATAACGTTAATCAAAAAGTTTTGTCCGCAAATTTGCGCGTTCGGATTCGATTTATCGTTGAAATTATAGACACGCAGGCAAGTGCGGCTACATATGTACGTCCAGACTTTTATTGGAAACCAAGTGATTACTACTAAAGCAAGGACTTTGGAATGACAATATGCCGTATAAGCTTTTCTCTCAAAGAATGGAAAAGAACAAGAATGACTAAAACCCCGACTAGATCCTTGATCCCAAGTTGAAGGTGCACTTTCACATGCAGAGTCCAGAATTAGGGTCGCACCATCTCTCAATAGTAGTGCATTGAGAGCATGCCTTGCCACGTATGTACATTTGATCGTCAACTTTGTTTCCTCTAAATCAAGATTTCTTGAACAGTTTTATTTGTAATTGTGAAGAGTCTTACGGCGGGTGATAGCGGCAGGCCTCCACCCATTCGTTGCCACATTTAGCAATAGAACAACCCATTATTTCAGTTGAAGCCCAAGCCATCTTAAAAGATAAGTTTTAGTATACAACATCTAAACCAAAAGAATGAGTGTTATCTTTCGTCAAAGACTTTATATTTTTGCCTCTATGAGCGAGATTACCAGAGTGTAAGATCTAATCTGAGTGCTGTTGTGTTCCAGACGAAAATAGGTACTTGTCCCGGGTCCACTGACTTTTCGCACTTGCTTCCACCACTCCGTAACCGCCTAAATAAACATCTCCTTTATTCTTACCAGTGCAGATCTGAATCACTTTTAGGACATTTTATGGGTTGGTAATTGCAATGAGGGCAATAATCATCTTGAGATACATCTCTAAGCAAAAATCTTCTCGAACGATCAGATAAAATTTTGTCAAATTGAGCATTAGGGCAATAAACCCTTTTTGGCGCCCTTCTCAAAAAGTAATAAACTTCAATTTAATTTTTTAGGCTAAAGTCTAAGGTATGCACATTTACTTGTCAATCATATACATAACTTCGCGAAAAGCCTTGATATGGATCCACTTTTGCGGGCCTAAAGGTCGCGTAGATCCGCTGGCGGGCAATATTTGGAGGATCCGCTCAACGGGTCCGCTCGTGCTTTGGCATGATGGACCTACATGCTGCTAGCGTACGTTGTGCAAAAAGTTGACCCGAAAGCTTGGTTGCAGCTTTCTCTATGAATTTCGTGACAGATAGATTTTCAGACAGGCACACACACAAACAGACGGCCTTAGCGCGTTTAAGTAGTAGGATATTGTATCTCACACCTTCTTATTCATGTCCTTGTATGTTCGTTCATTTGCAGTAATTGTCTGGCGATAGAAATTCTGCGCAGGGCGTTTATCATCTGGTCTTTGGTAGCCTTCCGTTGGGCAGTTTCTAAGGAAATCGTGAGCTTCCTTTTCTAACTTGCAAGCCCAAACCTATAAAGTGTAATAGTTCTGCAAGTTGAGTCATATAAGATAATCTCAGAGTCAAACTAACAAGGTAATTCATATTGGTTGCAGCCGGTAATGTTGTCCCTGTGTTGTCTGTGATTTGTCCCAAGGCAAGTGTTGATCTAAAAAAGGATAATAGTGAGCTTGATTTATGAATTAGCTTTATTGAAGCTGCAGAAAGAGTCTAAAGATTTGTTAAACATATCACTCGATAGAGTAAGCCAAGAGGAATAATCCCAGAAAGTTCGATACAGGGAAACTTAGGAAGAAAAATCTGATAATTTTCAACAGCTCGCATCAGCCATGTATGTGTACATTGCTGTATTTTTTCCACGGCTAAAAGTTGAGATAATAATTGGCATGTTTAGCAAAAGCAATACTGAATTGTCCCAACTTTGCAGGAATTGGTCAGAACTTAACCTGGTTATTCCAAATAAGCCACAACCATCGGACTCGTCTTGAAACGCTGGTTTTAAATATACGTTTACTATCTGCCAAACGACTATCTGAAAGAATTTACAAGCGTTTGAAAGTGCGATTTGCTAAGTATTCTAAGTATACGCTCCACGAAAAATGTCTTAAAAATATGCTTAGGTTTTCTTTGAATCTACTTCTTCCTTGTAATTAGAATACTCATAATCGCTCCAAATTACGCGCTTTCGGGCTGCCTTGAATAATATCCGTTGTTACTCTAATAATTTTACATCTTTAGACGCTTATAATTTATTCCAAATAGTCGCTCGGCATATAATAAACATAAATTGAAAATCACGTTTCAAAGCGGTTGGATGACATACAGGGTGTCCGAAAAGTACCCTATTTTTTAGGTGTATAAGCCGCACCCTTTTTGCTCTAAACGCGAGCATACCCAGGCGTGCCGCTGCGCATATTTCTCGCGAAGCGGTCGCTTTAATGCACACTGCTCTCACTTAACGCGCCCTATGGTGACAGTCAGTCTTTTAGCGTGCTCGCCTTTAAAGCAAAAAGGGTGCGGCTTATACACCTGAAAATAGGTTAAGTACACACTTTTTGATCGTTAATAACTTTCCACTGAGTCTTTTCTTTAGCTTTAAGTACCATTTTGTAAAGCTGGCTTCAACTTACTTGTTAAATCTACAGTATGAAGCGAATTACCCATTGCCCTTCATTACTGTAGGATCATGATAGGAACTTTAGGGAGAGTTTTGAGCCATTAATAACTACATATTGAACCAGAATAGACGCTCAAAGGGCCGAAATCTCTTTCATTAGGCTAAATTGAATCGCTGGTCATTAATATAAAATTTGCACCCTACCGTAAGATTTTTTCCATGAGTTATGCCAAGTAAACCGCCACGACGTTTATTTCAGTGTTGTTCAAAAGTGTTTAAAAAACCATTCAAAATTCTTAAAAACTCATAAATAGTTGTATGATGAAGTCATCATGTTGGGAACACTGCACCACAACTTCTCAGATTTTTTGGAACTTTTTGTAACGGCCTTTTCACAACGCTCCTGTATGCTAAAAGTTTCTGCCATAATCCTACAGTAATGAAGGATGTAAATCTAAGTTGGAGCCTCCTCTATTGAATGGTACTTGAAGCTCAAGAAAGGCCTTAGTGGGAAGAGAGTTATTGACGATCAAAAAGTTGTACTTACATTTGGGACACCCTGTACAGCTTGCTCAAAATGGCTCGGTTAAGTTCACCATTCCCTCGTTGTGATTCCATACTAGGAGATACTGCTGTTTAGCCGAATATTTCGCGTGCATCGCCAAAAAAGATAATAGTTAGAAAGAGGAGAAAAAGCACCGAATGATGCCTAAACTGTTTACCATTTCATGGTACATGATAAAATTATTAAAATAAATTTATATTTGTTCTATTTTATCCCAGGATAAAATAGAACGAATATAAATTTGGTTATTTTATAAAATAAGTTCTAGATGTTCTGAAAGACGAGCGAAGCTACAGAAATTTGCTTGGGTTGGCAAAATGTTCGCTCTATCTGCTGGCTACCAAAGTTCCTTTAAAAGTCTCAGATAAAATCTTTGAAAAACAACGAAAGCTAGACGCTGAAATCGAAAGGGAATTTCTAACGGTCACCTTAGCACTCTATCAATGAATCCCATTGGAACATAAAACTGGAAAGAGGAAGAAATTCTGCATCGAATAAAACTTGGAATGTTTCTTTATCTTTAGTGCGGGATTTACGGAGCAATTCAGAAAACCGACAAAACTTTTGGGCTGACCTAATATTTTCCAATTTCAAGTGGAAAATGGCATGAGTAAAAAAATACGGCAATTGTCACCTACAATATATGTTTAACTAAGCTGTGAGTTTGCGGGATTTTTTTGAACAGAAGATTGACTTTAGGATATTCAAACTTTTCTAGGTCTCAAACTTCATCTAGATCGAACCTTTTGCGATTGTCTGAAGGCAGCGGCTTGGCAGATTTTCAACTTCGGGGTCTTGGCAGATTTGGGGCTATTCCGGCTCCCTGAATCACGATATGAACTCCCCTTAGCGCGAAAATGGGGAAAACCCGTCTTTTGAAAGCCCCTCTGAGACGGGCGCGGACGAGTGAGACGCTTTTCTCTGCCATCAGAGACGCAAAGTAAGGAGGTAGAGAGCGCTAGAACAATCGAAGCTACGAGTGATGGCGCGTTTTCTAGCGGAGAACATACTCGTCCGAACAAGGTGTTAGGGGAGCGAAAGGAGGAAGGGGAGCGGCGCTTGGGCCGCCCCCCTGGCTTGCAGAGTTCACACTTTCGGCGCGGAGTTGCTGCTTTGGTTCAATTGGAAGGTCTCCTATTCATCTGTGTCAAAATCTGAGGTAGGTCAATCTGCCGAGCCGCTGCCTTTAAGTACTATCTTGTAGAGTCGGCTTTGCTCTATCAAATCGTGTATTTCATACATTTATACATCTTCTCTACCCCTTCAAGACAAGGAACTAATACGTACAAGCGCATACATAAAAATCTTTCTGAAAATCATGCCATGTGCTAGGCTGAAGTTTGGGCACAAAACAAAATGTACCGTCGAGTATTATGAGTTTCTACCATGATACTTCTCAGCGAGTCGGGAAGTTCTTCGTATTCACACCAAGTGCTCGGATCTAAAAGTGGACATAAAGGACATAAACAGAAAACTTCCGAAAAATCTCCTTTGCCTTCGAGACCTACTCCAGCTTCACTCTATATAGAATGCTGGTGTGTGTGTTTGTGTGTGTTGTGTGTTTTGTGTGCTAAAGCCAAATGTGCAAAATTTTGTTTTTGGACCTATCCAGACCAAACTTTGCACGCATACACTTTGGGGCATGGCGGGCGTCGTAGGCTACTTTTCGTTATCGATCGATTTCGATTTTATCGATATTTTGTAAAGTTTGAGCTGCGGAGTTGGGAGTTGGCACAAGGATGTGTGAGCGTGCTGATTACGACTATGATATTGACAGACCAAGCAGAGCCGGATGTCCAATGGATGTTTGTTTAGAACTCTATTTCAATTTTTATCACATACCCTTCCGGCTAAGTGCAACTGTTATTTTGATAATAATGTGCTCCAAATAAACACTGATTTTTTTATGAGCAACGATACTTCCAGAAGAATGCCAACGTGGATGCGTTAAAATTTTTCAATACTCAAGCGAAAGGCTGTGTTAGCTAAGGGAAGAGTAGAGTTTAATCAAAATGAGCTTTGTCTCAGAATTTACGCAGTTTACAACGAAAATTGCAGTGTTTTCCACAAAGTTTATCTAAAGACTTTAATTGAAGCTACCCGTATGCCATTGAACTTGCCGCTAACACTTCAGCTCTAAACAAGTTCCAAAAATAAGTTCAATATTGCGTTACTGATCAACAACGAAAGCTTTGAAAACTCTGCCAAGAACGCCAAGTGAAATTTTCAGCGGTTTTTTTTGAGTATTGCACAACCTCGAAGTTCTATGAACGAAGCTTGCGCGAGATGCTATTTGAAAGTACAAAAGCACTTTGCTTAGAGAGAATAGAACTAGACGCGGTCACCAGCTAAGGAAAGGGTAAGTATGTTCCAAATAGAAATTTTTCTGTTCGGAACATATGCGTCTAGTTCTATTCTCTCTAACCAAAGTGCTTTCTGGAGAGATTCCGGAGCACTTTGGGTGACGCTAACAGAGTGGGACATTCTGGAAGGGCCACTGCAGCTAGGAATTTATGACACAGAATATTTCATGAAAATGAGGAAAAATTGTGTTGTCTTACAAAAGAATTATCTAGAAGGAAAAAGGGAGTATTTTATCCAAAAAATTGGACTTGAAGTTATAGAAGAGTTGAGCAAGAGGTCAGGCACGATCTTTTGAATGAACGGGCCTATTGAAAGAGCCATAATTTTGTCAGCGGCAGGGTGTTTGACTCCAAACTTTCATAGTACCAAGAAGAGATTATGTGCTCGATATTCCTTTTCATGGGGAAGCGATTTCTGTTTTTAAAACAAGTCAGGGAGCGGGTAAGTCAGGCATAAGGCTCTCAGGCAGCTTGACCTTTTGAGGGATTGTGCCTGACCCCATTGAATCTCCGATGAAGCTTTTCTAACCAAGTTTCATGTGATTCGTTAGTGCGCATAAAATTGGGTGAATGCTTTCAAAAAGTGAAGTCGTATCGAGTCAACACCTTTTCTTGCTGATACAGTTTTGCGAAGAAAAGGTGTTGACTCTGGGACGTCAAAGCGAGCGCACTTGTTCGGAAAGCATTGAAGAGTGAGATAAAATTCGGTTGAGAGACTTCTTTTGCATGAAGTTCGGAGAGCATTTGAGATTAGCGAAGAAAAGGAAGCATGGGAAATTTCGGCATGCAAACGGAGAAGCGGCGCATTCTTAGGGGGCTTTAAAATAGAAAAACAAAGGTGATTGAGCTAGACAAACGTGTCAACAAAACAAAGGGTAAACTCTATTATAGTCTGGAAGAAAGACTGAATTTTCGTATATCAACTTTAAGGTAAAAATTTGAAATGCAATTTGGTTTGAAGAACTTGAAAATACAGCAAAACAGGCGTTGACAACGATACAGAAAAGCCGAGCACTATATAGAGCAAAGAAGTGAACGGCAACAGCTTACAGGATTTTGAGCGAGGCACTCAAAACGTGCTTGCACTTTTGCTGAAAAAAAAAACTTCAGAAACCTGATATAAAGCACGACAATGTGTGACACTATCAGTATGGTAAGCTGAGGAATGAGTTTGGTAACATATGGATTGGAACTCTTCAAGCTTAAGTGGGTCAAAGAAAGTCTGCATTTCTTTTTGACTTGTATGCTGAAAACGGACATTTATAACCCTGCTAACCACACAGTCACAGAGCCATTTTGAACAGCTTGTCGCGAATACCGCAGGAGAGGACAAGAATCCTGCGTTTTCCGTAATTACTTAGACATACTATTTTTGGCCGAAGGCTGTTGCATAGATCCCAAAGTTAGGCGATTTTTGCAGTAGAACTACAATGAGCCCAGAACATATTGCTTTTGCGCTATCCATAAACAAAGTACAACAGCATCCTTCCGGAGATGAATATCCTTCTTTCTGGTCGCGAAATTTTGTAGCATATTCCTTCGTAAATTTTAAGTAATCTTTGAAATTTATGATCATTTGGTCTACTTTGGAAAATGTAATTGGTCGAATGCATTTAGAGCTAATCCTGAAGTGTAGGATTAAGGATAGATCAAAATTAAGCTTACCGGAGGCATTTGACCACGGAAATACCGCCACTGAGGGATCAAGAGTAGATGCTCCTGAATCAGTAGTAGAGGTCGACTCAGGAATCTCCTCCGCTAAGATCAGAGGATCACATTCGGCTTTGCGGGTGCCTCCTTCGTAAATCGTGTCTCCTTTTTGGATATTTCTAAAAACTTCTCGAAATCGCAAATAAACCAACACAGCTGGTTTTGTTTCCGCAAGCTTCTGTTTCTTCAGCCAAGAATACTAATGCAAAAAAAAATTTGCTTGCACTGAATTGAAAAATAAAATCACTTCTTACACTATCGGACAAATACGCCCAAATATTCATAAATGTTTGTTTTGCGGGGTATTGCACTCCTTTGAAAAAAGTAGCATAACTTTTGGAACGCCCTAATATTTTGTTCCTTACTCTATCGGGCAGAGTGAGGAACAAAATATTTGACCGTTCCGAAAATGATTCCACCTTTTCCAAACGAGTGTAACACCCCGTAGAACAAAAGAACAGACAATTTTGGAAGATTCTGGGCACATTTGATGCAGCTTACTATCTTCTCTCGAATTTTAAGTGCATTGCAGCTTGCACAGCGAGCTTCTAGAACTTATCGAAGACTACAATTTATTGTTTTTGCCATAGTCAACTTTCGCTAGTTTTACAAATTTTTTTACCCATCATTCGGAGAACTCCAAAACACAAATAGATGGAGCAAACCCTATAAGATACGAGACATTTTTCCTTTCCATCACTCGTCTTAATTTATTTTTTTTTTGATGAAATTTATTTCGGAGCCACCTATTTTGGCAGGCCTTCGTCAGACGCAAACGCATCAAACACCATTGAATCTTCGGAATTCAAGATCTTCAAAAATTATGATTAGCTCTGGCTCTGTTTTTACAATGCAAATGTGCTTCAGTGCTGGACATAATTATAAAGCCACTCTAGAAATCGTCATAATTTTCGATCTTGTCATTGAATCTGTCTGAAACTTTGCTATATTGTGCGCATGTCAACCTTCCATGACCCCTCAAAATGGCTTCCAGTCTTGTTGAATTTGAACGGAGAAAACGAAAAGATTCGAAAAAGCCTTCTTTAAAAGCTGGACAAAATTATAAAGCCACCTGGTTTTTCTAATCACTACCGCATTCGTTGGCTCTCAAATTTTTTTTGTACAATTACTTCCCAAAGTATGAAACATTTGCAACACCTACGGCCTGTCATCCTCCTCAAATAGAAGGGATCACAGCATTTTTTGCTCTAAAAAGCACCATAAGTCAATCTGCTTCAACAAACAACTGATTTGAGGAGTTTTCAAGTTCTTGTTCATTTCAAATGATAGTCATGAAATCTACTGACACTTCTGGATAGATGAGGTGAAAAGTGCTTCCGTGAACTCTGCGTAATCGCAGATTTTGACGGGCAGACTCCAAGCTCACCACAGGGTTGACGCACTTTTGCACCACAAAACTCGATTTTCAAGCGACAGAAAATACTGTATGTAGCCATTACGACAGCCATACAATAGTGAACTTCTGTGCATGACTGGGAAAAATTTCGGGGTTGAGCACTCTGATTCAGCCGCAGTTGACATCCACTGAATGTTGGAGCATCCTGCACAATCAAAGCCGGCTCAGATCACGAGATAAAACCGGAGGCGCTTGAAACTTCAAAATTCTAGCTAAGCTCATTCATCGGATGAAATATGACCTGAAACACAGAGGGAAATAGGGAGATCTAGGGTTATATCGAATCTTCTGCTCGCAGGGAATTTTCGTGGAAAGTGTTTCAGGTCTAAATCGCTACCGCATCATTAAGGAAAATCTGAAAGTCGTTGCTAAAGTTGCATCCCTATGTAGGCAATGTAATAAATCAAGTTCAGCACTTTGTGGACATTGCAAACTGAGTTTTGTGGTTTAAAAGCGTTTTAACCCTATGGTGAAGTGAGAATCGGTCCGTCAAAATCAGCGATTACGCAGAGTTTACGAAAGCGCTCTTTACCTCATCTATCCAGAAGGGTCAGTAGATTCCATGGTTATCATTTGAAATGAACCCGAGCTTGAAAACTCTTCAAACCAGTTGTCGAAGCAGATTGACTTTTGGTTCTTCTGAAGGCAAAAATGCAGTGATCGCTTCTATTTGAGTAGGATGACAGCCCTTAGGTGTTGCAAATGTCTCATACTTTGAGATGTAATTGTACAAAAAATTTGAGAGCCAACAAATGCGGTAGTGATTAGAAAAACCAAGTGGCTTTATAATTCAGCTTTCAAAAAGGGCTTTTCGAATTTTTTCGTTTTTCTCCGTTCAAATTCAACAAGACTGGAAGCCGTTTTGAGGGGTCATGGAAGGTTGACATGCGCACAATACAGCAAAGTTTCATTGACAGATTCATTGACAAGAACGAAAATTACGACGAATTCTAGAGTGGCTTTATAATTATGTCCAGCACTGTATTACGGATTCGAAACAAATTTCGAATTTATAGTTTACAGCTCGGAGAGCGTTCGAAAACATGAGTTAGAATGATTTTATCCCTGAAGACTTCGCTAATCGGAAACAAAAAACGCCAATTGAAATAAGGGAAAAATGCATCGGATAACACGCGAGTGTTCGCCGTTTACTGTGCTACGAGGTTTGGATTGACTAAGTATGGAATTTGGCAGCTTCAAATAAAATTCATTAAAGAAACCTATCGAGGTGTGGAAAAGAGAAAAAAATTGTTCTGTATTCTGTAGAGTTTGCTCTATCCTTACGTTGATTTTTCAGAGTGATCTTTGCAAAAAATTCGAAAAATGGCGAAAGATGAGCATGGCAAAAACCACGAATTGCCTTTGGTAATTTCTGAGAGACCGTTGTTAAGCTGCAATGCAATCATAATTATTTGAAAGACGATAAAAGGATGCATTAAATGCGTCCAAAATCTTTCAAGGTGCTTGTTCAGAGATGTTGCGGGATTTTACCTTTTGAAAAGAGCGAAATTACTTTCGGAACGATCTAATATAGGAGAACAGCACTATGATGTAACAAGGTAACCTCTACAACATAACTATTAGACATCTGCACAGACGAGATCCATCTAATATCTCAAACCAAGAGTTACAAATGATACCTATCCCAACACACATGCGTAATTACGTTATAAGCCTTCGGAAGAAATATTCTAGTAGCCTGACTAGACTGAAAATTGAATTAAGCTCAAGAAATCCTTCTTGTGAATTTTGGGATTGTGTTGATCTAAAAAACGGCAAAATTTCGCTTTTGCATTGTGATTTACTGTAAATCCACAATACAGAGACGGCGAAGTAATATTCGTAAGCTGAGTATTCCCCCCCCCCCCACACTAAGTCAAACTTCGGTCACCATGATTTTGACCCACTATGTAAACTGCAGCCTCAGAGCCCTTACCACATTAAAAAGTGGGATATTTGTACTCAGCATGTCTTCTGCGCGAAGCTTTTGATTCTGGTTTAGGACCAGGTTGGAATAGTGCTCATCCAACATTTTCTTCTTTCGCCTTGCAAAGTTGATCTTTAGTCTGGTTCAATAAACTTTACCCTTTTCCCAGCGGATCATCATGTACCTCATTTGATGCTGTTTTCCATCTATTATACTGCGCAATCCTTCCTGCAATGAGGTTTCCATTCAATCACCTTTTTTCGTCAATTGTCAACAGAAAAAGCATGTTAGCATTTGATTTCAGAAACTGGAAACATGCCCTTCGGCACGAAAACGGAGCTACGCTGCTTGCATTTCATTTGCTACTAACGTCATCTTAATGCTTGTGAGATTCATCAAAGCCTGTCACTACAAGATTGCGGAAAATGAGCTGGCATAGCACGTTTGATTCCTACACAATGTCAAATCGCATCACGAACAATCACTACCTAGCGCAAAGCAGTTTTGTTAATTATTTCGAGTTGCAAAGAAGTCGAATAAACAGCAAGAAGTTCACCTTGATTACCATAAAGCGTAAAAAATTAACAAGTACTCGTATTAGATTGAGAGAAAAACTCAACTTAAATTAGTAAAGCAAAGATAGACGAAGCGGAGGCCCGTTATACGCCTTCCCACACCATTAATATTGTCGTCATTCAGACGACAAGTGATGTTTGCGCAACCGACTTTGGAGGCATTAGCACGCATAATCTGAAAGAAAGTTATTAACATTTTATGGGAAGACGGTCGTTTCGCACGAAGGTTATCAACTGCGGCGCTGTTTGACTTGTCTCTCGCGCATGTGGCACCTTCCCCCTATTTCCCTAGAAAGAAACCGCCAGTTCCGTATGGAAGTACCCTGGCAGGATTACGGTCGTGCGAATCGGCCCATATTTTCTTTTATGAACAAAATTATCGAAAACGTACATTAGCCCATTGCTTCAAAGGCTCATCGCCATCCATATATCTTACAATTTGATCTGAGACATCTGAGACATCGGAGAAGTAATAATCATCAGTTAAGTGAAAAAGAGGTATAGGAGCTGTTATGAAGTAAGCATAACTGAAAAAATGTCTTAAGCAAATGGACAATGGCTATTACTGTCGCAGCACGAATATAGTGAGATTAAGATCCTGGAATCAATGCAACATCCACGGGGGAGATAGGAAAACTTTTTAAATTGATGTTTATTGTGATACGAAAAGCTGATTACTTCTGAGTAGGTCTATAAAGCAAAGAGCAGCAAAAACATTAACTACCCTTTATCAGGTTCTTCTAATCCTTCTTTTCTCCCTGTGAGAAGGTCGCAGTCCTGTTTGGCCAAGAAATCCTTAGCTTCCTGTTCAAGTGCACAGTCCCACATCTAAATTTACAGCACATTAGCTGAAACGATTGCTACGTGAGCTACAATCGGCATGATTAGTATGGATTCTAGATGTGATACCAAGCTAGAACTGTTCGATAAAGAACAGCTCCTCAAAATAAGCATGACTTCTTTATGGAAATTGATGATGGGATGATGGGATTTTGACTAGGCACTACCCAGGCAAAAGCACTAATGATCCATTCACGGCTGAAAAATCTACCGCCGAATTTATATTTAGCGCTTGTGCCGTGACTGGAACGACTAAGGTAGGTGGGTTTCAGAGCGACTGCGGTGCTGTCGCCGGAACGGAGCAAACTCATTTGCGGGTTACAGTCACGGCATAACCGCACTGTTCGGAAATGAGTTTCTCAGCCGTGGATGGATCATCTTTTCTGTCGCTTGAGCGTACCCTAGTTAGGATCTTCCCATCAGTTTTCATGCAAAGAACCCGTGCACCCAGATTTGCTGGATAAAAAAATTACAGGTATTTTCTACATTGGCGCCAAAGGTCAAAATTAGGGTTTGAGTAGTTATTGGAATATCTTGTCGAGTAGCAACTTATGCAGATTAAGCTTAGAGTTTTAGTCAAAACGAGGCTGACCAGTTTATTCATGTTTTTTGCTGGAGGAAGTGCTCCATATGTGTCCTCTTGCAATCCATGAGCCAGTGCCTCGCGTTGATGATTGAACGTTGTGAGATATCTGTCTACCCAATGCTCATCCGCGCCGTTTGCAGTTTTACAGTAAGCAGGACCTGAAGTGTAGAATCTCATTCATATTCCAATGAAGAGTAGCGAGAGTCGCGCCAAAGATAGATAACTTTTTTTCAGTATCTGAACAATGACGGTCATAAAAACAAATTAGACCTATGACAATGCAAGATTTTTAAATGTTCAAATGGCTGATTCTTGACGTGGTAATCACTCTTGAAAAGCAAGGAATCTGTTTATTTTTTCACACCAACTGTTCCTCTTGCAGATATTTCACCGCAGCTACCACAGCCCATAAACATGGAAATTACCTCCGCTGTCATGTTTTTAGAACTGCCGATTCAACCTAAAACTCAGGCTTATTTCCAGGAGCAGTGTCACGCCCTAAATAGCGTCAAGTTCCTTCTTCCAGCAGCAGAAGGACCCAGCTAAATAAAAACGAAGCAGTTTTTACAAAATTTCACAAAGCTATTTCGGAACCAAAATGTTCTCTTCGATGACGTCTTCCCAATAAACGGACTCATTTCTTGAAGCAAGACTAAAGCCGGCTTAACGCCTTTTTTTTCATAGGCAATCTTAGAAATCTGTTCTGTCGTATGAAGCCTTAGGTCTTTCCTTCTCGCGAGACCACCCTGTATGTTTTTGCTTTTTGCAGAAGTATAGTTTTTGCGAAATAGAAGAGCTAAAACTCTTAGCGAAAATGTTCTGTCATATAAAGTTCTTGAGTCTATCCTTCCCACGAGACCAAGCTTTCTACGCTTTTCGCTTTCAGGAGCAGAAATATGGTTTTGGCGAAGTTTAAGGGGCAAAATGTAAATTTCAAGCAATTTCCTTATGAACATTGGGAGCGGAGAGGTGTCGCGCTGTCATCCGTCGACGCGTGGCGGATCTTTATTGGTGAACTCGGGAGCATTATGTTATGGTTGTTGTAATGTACGCGCACCATCGGTAGCACGGGATTGGGCACCATGTCCCGTGCTGGGGTTTTTCTTTCATTTGTAGTTTAGTATTTCAGCTTAGTATTTATCTCTTTCCTTTCGTGTTAAGGATAAATTGTTAGTGTTCAACCATCTGTTTCTTGGGCGCTAGGTCAAGTGGTAGGCTAGGTTGCGTAGTAAGTAATGAGCGGGCAAGCGCGCTAGGTCTCGGGTAAAATCCAGGTGCTTAGGGCTCACCTAGCCGCCACAAGTATGGTTTCTGCGAAGTATTAGTTTGATACGAAAATAGTGGCCATTTTGCGATTTGCCACTTCGACGCGTTATTTCTTTCTGAAGAATTTACATTTCTGAATGCGATAAAAACCTTTAGAAGCAGGAAGCCTTTTGCAATATAGCGCACAGTAGCCTATCTTGTAGCCCAAACCTATAGTACAGAAAAAAGATGAAAAAGGCTGGGATAAAGAAGATTTAGAAAAGAAAAGAGAAAAAAGAAAAAGAGAAAAAAAATCAATATCAAAAATTGTCACTTTTTTCAACATTTTTTCATAAGCTTCAAAGTTCCAAATTACGAAGATTTTTTTATTTTTTTGCGTACCAAACAGCTGGATTTTTGCAAAACCTGTCAGGAGGATGCCCTAACCCTACGCTTACAGAAATGAGCAAATCTTTGGTGATAATTTTTTTTGCCCATTTGACTGCCCATTTGACGTATCGGTAACTCATTTTGGATAATTTCAAAAAGTATGGTCAAGTGTGCGCATTGTTTATAACTTCTTTTGCGTACATTAGCCAGATTTTCGAAAAAGCCGTGCCTTTGCGCTCAAAATGTGGCCAGAAAAGTGAATGCAATGATATCCTGATTATGAATGCACTTATTTGAAGCTCTGTAACTACTTAATAGGGCTGGAAGATCGCTTCAACGTTGTAAGGTAGAAGCATGAGAAGTTTTTCTTAATGGTGTGCTGTCACTGTTTTGAAAAAAGATTTTGATGGGGAAAAGTTGCGCTGAAAGATGGCCTAGAAAAACGGCCATAACTTTTTCATCAACCTAACAGAAAGGTCCGAAAGTCAGTATCAAGCAAGTTTCGGTATGATTTAGCCTTGACACCTAGAAATCACTAGCGAAAATGTCTACTGCATGCCCTTTCGTCTTTCTTCAACGAGACTTACCTCCTTCTGCTCTTTTGCTTTTAGAGGCAAAAGTAGGATTTTCATGAGGTAGAGGTGGCAAAGGTAAATTTTAAGCAACTTTTGGTTGATTTTTCCTTACTTTTTCCAGCAAAACTTGGTGCTCTGCTTCTCTGATTCTGGATGAAAAGAACGGTTTTTACAAGGCAAAAGCACCCATAAGTGAATTCTAAGCAAATTTCCGTAAAATTGATAATTACATAGGGTGTTCCAAAAGACGTGCCTATTGTTATTATTGGACGCAGCGTCCAGGCAAATCTGAACTGTGGGGATGGGGCCCAACTAAGACACTGCCCAAACAGCAGCTCAGATGGAGCACTCGTGGCTGAAATGTTCGCCTAAATAGGACCCCAGGATCGTATTAACGGACGGCTTGCCTCATGCTTTCATGGTTCCATACCGCGACCAGGGCCCGGCAGGCGTTGGTTTGGAGCACTTTTGGAAACGAATCTTATATATAAAGCTGAATGTCTGTTTGTCTGTCTGTATGTCTGTCTGTCTGTCTGTCTGTATGTCTGTGTGTACGTATGTTCCGAATAGAAAATTCCATTTCTGAACCGATCCGGACCAAACCTAGCACACATACACTTCGGGCCCCGGCGCGTGTCATAGGCTACTTTTCGTCATCGATCGATATCGATTTTATCGATTTTTATCGATTTTTTTGCTGAGTTCACCTACGGGGCTGGGAGTTGGCACAGGGGGGTAATCGAGCATGGGGATTCCGAATACAATATTGGTTTTCAGGATTATCGATTACTTTTATCGATTTTATCGATTTTTTTGCAAAGTTTGAGCTACGGGGCTGGGAGTTCGCACAGGGGGGTAATCGAGCATGGGGATTCCGAATACAATATTGGTTTTCGGGATTATCGATTACTTTTATCGATTTTATCGATTTTTTTGCAAAGTTTGAGCTAGGGGGCTGGGAGTTGGCACAGGGGGGTAATCGAGCATGCTGATCATCCCCAAGGGGAGTGATCAGCATGCTCGATTACACCCCTGTGCCAAATTCCAGCCCCCCAGCTCAAATTTTCAAAAAATCGATAAAATCGATAAAAGTAATGGGCGATCTTGAAAACTAATATTGTATTCGTAATCTGCATGCTCGATTACCCCCTGTGCAAACTCCCAGCCCCGCAGGTCAAACTTTACAAAAAAATCGATAAAATCGATAAAAGTAATGGACGATCCTGAAAACTAATATTGTGTTCGTAATCAGCATGCTCGATTACCCCCTGTGCAAAATCCCAGCCTCGCATGTCAAAATTTACAAAAAATCGATAAAATCAATAAAAGTAATCGATAATTCTGAAAACCAATATTGTATTCGGAATTCTCATGCTCGATTACCCCCCTGTGCCAACTCCTAGCCCTGTAGGTGAACTCTGCAAAAAAATCGATAAAAATCGGTAAAATCGACATCGATCGATAACGAAAAATGGACTGTGACACCCGCCGGGGCCCGAAGTGTATGTGTGCCAAGTTTGGTCCGGATACGGCGGAGCCGGGTAAGCCAGCTAGTTCCTCATAAAGTGGCAAAAACGAAGTCTCCTTTGACGTCAGGATTAGTGGAGAAACTTTTACTCAATTTGCATAACAATAAAAAAGCGAACTGAGCGTACTTTGAGGATCTAATATAACAAAAAAGTAAAAATTACATATTTCGGATTGATTACATACTCGCATTGAGTATGGTACCTTCTACTTTTGTCGAGAAATTCCTAGGCCAACCAAATCTGTAGCCTCAGCGATTTGGCGATGCATTTTTTGCCACACAGTTCAAAGGACGCCTCATGTGACCGGAGCGCGTATCTATCAGTGCGTCGGTATATGCTAATTTTAGCTCAAAAAAGAGGAGAGGCAATGGTTTGATTCGCTCTGTTCACTATATGATGGATTTTCGAGCGTTCTTATCGTCTAAATTGAAAAGGTCCAGAACTTATGTGTCTCTCTAATAGTTGTGCTGCGAACCAACCCGGTTGGTTTGGTGTGGTTTAAAGACCAACAAATTCGGGAACGGGTATTAGGACAATAAGTTTCAAAACTTTTTACACAAGGTCGTTTGTAGTAATATTGTATACACATAGCCCAAATTCCTTGCCATGTAATTGTTTGTGCGCTGTAAACAAGTTATTCAATTTGAGTCTTGCGCTTAAAATTTGCGCGCTTGTGAAAAAAAACGCGTTCAACTCGTAAAACTCAACATGTTTGTCGATTTTTTTTCCGGGGTTCCTCCCAGTACCTTACAAAAACGAAATTCCCATTGATTCTATCTCAAAAACGAAGTCCAGTTGGACCCCAGACCACCTGTGCCGGGCCCTGTCCGCGACCTATCATTTTCACTTGGGTCATCGCGCAAAAGCGTGCAGACACGATGCAACTTGTCCATTAGTACGATCCCGGCGTCTACTTTCCCGATTATCTCAGCCATTAGTGAAGCTTTACGCTGCTGCTTGGGCAGCGCCTTAGTTAGGGCCCCAAGATTACTTTCTACGTGAGATCTCAGCAGGTTTACATCTGCCTGGTCGCTGCCTTTAATCTCTTTGCTATGTAGTCTTTCGAGAAGCTTCAGGTACCATTTTGTAGAGCTGGCTTCAACCTAGATCTTCAGGTGGAGCGGATTATCGATCTCTCCATTGCTGTGTAGAATTACCGTAGGAACTCGCAGCAAGTGGCGCCACTATGCGAATAGCGTCAAACAGATTTTTTCAAAAAGTTGTGGAAAATTGTATAACAAGGCTTCCATGCAAGCTGATTCCATTAGACAATTTTTGCGCATTTGCAAAGCTTCTTAAATGGCGTAATCAAATCTTTGGCAAGTTTTAGAAGTTAATTGGTGCGGTATATCTGGCATAACTTATCTAGCATGAAAAAAAGCGTTGCGATGAAGTGCAAAATTTATTTTTGTAGGCAGC